CATAGTCATCTCCCATGACTTCGCAGCCGACGAGAATTTAGCGTTGAGGCTTATGAAAAAACAAGAAATCCCTGATTTCTTTTTTCCCTCTGCTCAGTACATTCGCATGAATATTTTGTACTTACCCTTATTTTTTGGTATGCGAAGCTATTGGTAGGCTTCTGTCTAATCACCGAAAATATTAAACTATTCTTTGACCATTCCACAGACTGTTGAAACCAGAAATGGGACGGGAAATTACTCAAAATTACTATTTATTGGCAGTAATCCCAAACTTGAACAGCTTGCACTGGATAATAATTATCCATCAGTTATAATTGAACAAATAAATCAGGAATTAGTTTGGAAATGGAAAGTTGTACTTTCGTTCGATGCAGCGTTGATACTAAGTAAATCAGTCATTCTTGTCTCAAACACACGAGTTCACCGGTTACATGTTGTTCGCTAATCAGTTCTTAAGAATTAAAATAGTCTGTACATCATCTTAGGGTAAGCTAAAATAGACAGTCATCAGTAATGTCACATCGTCATAAAGTGGCATGAGTTAATTATTTACATCGTGCCTAATAAAATATGGTAGAACAAGACTATTAATCGAGCAAAATAATTACTTTCAGTGGTAGGTGTTACTGAACTAATTCTTATAGAACCTGCATTTAATGTTGGACCTGTTGTTTAATGCAATATGCCCACTTTGATCGGATTTTTTTCAGAGTAACTTCCTTTCAACTCCAGGCTTTCTATTTTTTTATAAAGACGGCTTCGAGTACACCGCTTTGCTCGTGATTTTCTTACCAACTAAATTGTAAATGAGAGGAAACAGGCGACGTCAAAAGAGAAGGCTTATTGGTGCTTCATATTTGTTCGGCGTCTTTGAAATCCCGTTGGTCTGATGGCCACAATTTTATTGGTGGTCACTGGAGATTGGCGTGCTGCGAGGTGTGGGGTGAAACACTAGGAAGTACAGGGAACCTTACAGTTGGACTTTATTGGTTGTGTAACATTTTTCTGTCTGGCAATTGTACAACTTACTGTCATTATAATTAGTTATATTTAAGGCGTCTGAACAATACAGTCTATTGTAGTCACAGATGCTTTTGACTGCGTTCAGTTTCGGCAAGATTGGTTATATGTAAGACCTGCGAACCCAAGTATGTTCGCCCAACAGCAGTTCGATAGTGTTGATCTAGACATGCCAACAGAACATAAGTTAGCAAACAGTACACGAGGAGTTCCCAATCGGATGTTATGAATAAAAAAACTCAATTCCATGCAAATTACAACAGACAGCACACACTCTGTGGGCTCTAGGATACAAACTCCTCGAACAGTCACTTCTGGCTTTAAGAGCAAGATAGCTGATCGATAAGTGGGAAGGGGAAACTGCATATAACTTGATAAAACCCTGCGACATAACAAAATTTCAAGTGCTTACGGACTATATTTTTCCCAGAAGCACCAAAACCTTGTGATAAGATTAGTACAAATCGGCGTATTTGGTTAATAAAGTGCTGAATTTGACTAAAGTGTCTACCTGGCAACCTAAATGAATATATGTATGGTGCTTAATCTAGACTCTGATGAATGCCTACCCGTGTGCAGATCATGAGCTTATGATGTGGCGTCACTTATGTAACACATAGAAGTTAATATATGATTATCCTTTGCAATTACTTGGGACTGTTATAGTGTGGCGTTGAGTCGCGGTTGACTATGATCACCACTACAGGAAGACTACGTGCCAGTTAACCGGTAAGATCCCCCGTAGGCCAAATATCGGGAGGCAATTGATGGCTGTAGTCGAAATGTATTTGTTGGCGATCTCGTGGTATCAAAAGAATACCGAGATCGTGCCAGGTTACAACTGTGGTTACTGGGCGCAACCGAATTCGTGCAAGGTCACAATCAACAGAAGAATGTATGTATTTTGGTACAGTTAAACAAACAAGTACGGCTAAGCAATCCCTGGTACAATTGGTTATAATAATAATAATAATCGTTTTCCCTACACCAATCGCGTTCTCTTGATAAAGGTAGGTCACCACAAGCTAAAGTACCCGATGTGATTTATTGCATTTCAACGGGCATTTTTATACTTGTTATTAGTTCATCACAGACACTAACTGAAAAGGGCCAAACAATAATTCTAAAGGATAAAATAATTTGCAAGGTTATTACTCTAATTCATCTGAAGGACTCACCGCCTTATTATTCTACCACAGTGACTATGCAAGTGTCAACAATGAACTAACTACCAACCATAAACCAAATCTGATGTGTACTCACCAGCTTACGATAAAATAGTAACTCCATACAACCGGGTAGAAGCCGATGGTTTCAGTTGCAACAGATAACATAGTAAAATCGCAATGGGGACGTTCTTTTCACAATACCGGAGAATCTTAGTTAATCTTCCATGGGTCTCATGTGAGTATGACAATTATTTAAAATCAGTCTCGTGTCTTTGAAGAGTAGTATTCGGTATTCTTCATTCTCTAAACACTATACAACTGAAATCTAAAACTTCAATAATATATCAGAGCAGGCAGTTTGATCAACGAACCTGGAAGCGCACTAAAACTCTTATTTGGTGCTTACCATGGGAATCTTATTTCACCACAAGTAATATTGACACTGCGTTTTCCGACTTATACCACAACCTGATATATTGCCTTGACTGCACTGCCTTAATTATCGGTCATGTGCCTTATAACGCTAATATGGGCCAAAATGCTTTTAAAACCTTTAAGAGAAAGTTGAGAAAATTGAAATACCGCTACCACAAGCATCATGTCGTGTATGCATTCCAGAGACTACGTAACCCGATCAAAAGAACTGATTCATCTAAACGTAAGTGTCTTATGACTATTGAGAATAAAGCCCTCGGTAGTTAAAGCCCAGAGTTATCAATACTCCGGCCTTTCAAATCCCGTGTGAAATCGAATTGTCTCGGCACAACAAAATTCTTCGTAGTTGACGGGAGTATTGTTGACGACGCTCATGCTACTTGTGAACCGTACTGAAGCATTTCTCGCAACGCCACAACTCTGAAACAGAAACCTCCATCAATACGTTTCCAATGTTGACGTCCAGACATATATCCGAAATCGATTTAATATGCAACAACATCAAGCAGGTCATAACTGCCCTGAAAAAGTAATATGATGGCGGACCTAACGGGACTTCTTCATCGCTTGAGAAATATTGTGGTATAGAATCCCCATTATCTTATTTAAAACTTCTCAATCTATCTATGGAGTATGAAGCCCATCTGTCTGTACGGGAAACATCTCTTATCACCCGTATATTCAAAATGAGATCTCGTAGTGATAATGCTAACTAAAGGCCTATTAACTTGACGTCCGTGTTATCAAGATCAATGTGAGAAATCACCCACAAACAGCTACTATTATTTTTACTTTCGGCTAACCTGATTAGCTCATTCCAACACCGGTTTATGACTAAACGCTCATGCTTCACATCGCACTTGGAATTTTTCATCGAATTGCCCAGAGAGGAGATATTGGCCAGTTAGAGATAATTTTGTACTTCGAGCATCAGTACAACTCCTTGTGCACTGGGTATTTTCTTCTCTGTAACAAGAATACCGAAACACCCCTCTTAAAGTTAGTATTTTTTACCCATATTATGTCCGACGAGTCTCGTCTGGCTCCAGCACTAACAACTCATTTCCACCGCCACTTGAATGACCCGTTGATTTCGCACATTGTTCAGATATTCCATGTACTTATAATAATTAGTGACCTGGTTTTCAGAAGGGTGACTGGTTTCATGGTTCACGAAGAATCTCAGCTTTTACTACGGGGAGTTATATTCTACAAAGTTCCGCTTTCTGGGCACTAATCGACTTTTTTGTCATTTCCTTGTTAAGCATTCTGTCCTCCTAACCATTATTATAAAGTCCTCAGGATTTGAATCAAAACTCTGTGATCATTCTGAATTACTGCTTTTCAAAACAAATCTTGGAAACATCTCGCTGAATAATTAACAATCCACCATGTCTAGAAATATAAAAACCCAATTTTAAGCACGAATAAGTGTGTAGCGTTAAACAAATACTCAAAATGTACAGTTCTGTAAATCTTCCATATTGCTGCTGACCTCATTAGTCATACCGGACACATCCTAGCTGAAAGTACTCAGTCACGTATCCGCAACAGGTCACGAGTGGATTTGCCGTGCTACGCATCCACTGCAACTCTCAGCCAGCTTGGACCGAACGTTTTTTGACATACCGATATCTTTACAAATATACCTTGGAATCCCTTCATTTCTGACCTTGGATTTGACTGGGTTGATATCCATCGATTATGAGAGAGTTACGTGTAAGTGCATCGTCAAGCTCCAAATACCTGTAGCATTTTTAAATAGTACGGCTGTCCCCCATTTCACAGATAACTCCGAATTTTCGCTCTGTAGATAAAAGAGATAAACTATTACAATTTTAGGCGAAATACAGTACCTTTTTATAAAGCATACTCAGTTCCTCCAAGAGCTATAGAATGACACTATTTGCACAAGTGCGTCGCATTCAAGTGATAGTTTGGAATAGTATTCAACGAGATATTATGGTGTGCTTGGGCCTAGCGGGGTTTACGCAGAATATATGCCGAATTTTCCCAACTAGATGTGTTTTAGAAGGCATAACCTGACGAGTGTATGATGTTCTCAGTGTTCAGTTAATCAAGTCAGTAGACAACAGGCAGACATTTGTAGACCACGCTAAAGAGTGAAATACGACAAGTAGACGTATGTTTATTTAAGTTTAAGATATATTAAAACCAGGAACCTGGACTTTGCAGCTAAAATCGGGCAATCGACCATTTCTCCAGAAAAGTTGTGGATCAAGCGTTAAACAAGACATAGAACCTCATAAATTTGATATTTGTAAAGGGAAAACAAAATTAATACCAGAGAAAAAGTTTTAATTTCACGACGCACCCAAATTGGACAATGATCAGTTGTGCTGTATTTATACTATGTTTAAATCGTCGTATGCGTTGTCAGCAAACATGTCTTCGATGGATGGTGATCGTGGTGATTTTGATGATGATCATGATAGAGATGAAGGCTTTCCGGACGAAGACCCTCCGTTTCAGTCAGAAAATAACTTTTCGGATGATGGGCGGTATCAAGATGACATGCGGTTTCCGGATGATCGTTATCCAGATGATTCCCCTGTGCATAAACATGATGATCGTTACCCAGGTCCCGGACCTCGCCACATGAGAATGATGAGGTTAGTTTACTTTTTACATCAATTAAATGAGGATGTAATGACTTATGTTTGCTGTCAGCTGATAGGTGTTCTGTTTTTTGCAGGCCTCAATTTCGTCCAAGATTCCAGGGTGGCTACAGGGGGCACCCACGAATGCAGATGCATGGTGGCGGTCGGTATGTTGTTGTATTTATGAGCATTTTTGTTTTAGAGGGAATTTTATGCGATCAGGAATGGGTCCACATCGTGGTCCTCAATTTGATGGATACGGTCACCCAATGGGTATGAACCGAGGATACCCACCAAGATTTAGTCCACAGTATCCTGGACGTTTTCAAGGTATGAACGAGGATCAAATGGATGAGCAGATGGACGAAACGCATCCTTCCGGTGACATGAACTACCCAGGTCACGGGGATATGTCAATGCCCCCAATTCGTATTCTAATATGCAGCACATGCGCATGCGCGGTCCACCGCCTCAATTCATGCCTCCCAACAAACAGATGCCTCCTGACCATCAACAACCAGGCGCTATCCCTCCAGCGGGTTCGGGCGGACACCAGCCTTATGGCACAAACGCTTCATTCAATAATCCACCTGGGTCCCATTATGGTGGACCACAAGCACCTTATGGTGGACCTGGAGCTCCTTATTCCGGGAACCAAAACAACCAGCCTTTCGGGGCCCCACCATTCAATGGCCCTCCTGTGTCTCAGTTCGGCGGTCCCCCTTATAATGGTCCTCCGGTGTCTCAGATGGGTGATCCTGGTTCAAACCTACCATCAGGTCAGCAGTTTGCTCCACCCACCAGGCCATTTGGAGCACCTGCTGGCCCCTTCCCTGTTCCTCCAACCGCCCCTTATGGCGGCCCTGGATCTAACTCGCAACCTGCTGGGTCTTATAATGGCCCTTCACAATTTGCTGGGACACCAACTGGACCTCAAAGTGCTTCGTCCCAAGGCACCCCTTCAAATGTTCAAAACAACCTGCCACCAACTCTAGCCAACCCACCGGTCCCCGTCGCTCCCCCAGCTGGTGCGCCTGCGCCAGTTTGCCCGCAGTCTGCGACTCAGTCTCCAGCCACACAAACGTCTGCTCAGCCTCCCGCTGCTGCCCCCCCAATTCCAGTAACTCCAGTCGCGCAACCAGTCTCGAACGTTCCACCACCGTTTACCTATCCGACTGCGATTCCAACTGCTTCGGACGGTAAGTCGGTCACCCAGCAGTTTATTTGGAGACTCACACAGTCCCAGTACTACGTTTTTATATCCTTCGATGCTTAACTCCGTGTTAGTAATAATCCTAGTTTTACTGTGCGTTACGTTGGTTTATTGAGGTACATTTGTCTTTACAGGTTCACATTTTGGTCTTCCACCACCTTGTTTCCCTGCGATGCCTGCTCCACCCAGACCCATGGCTGTGCAAGCTATTCCGGGACCTGGAATGCCTCCTGGCACGACTCTACCGTGCCCAACGATGCCACCTATGCCGATGATGGGCCCTCCACCTATTCCTGGGATGCCTCCCATGCCACATCCTTTGTCTCATTTCCGTCCACCTATGCCTTTCATGCCACCCGTGATCCCTGTTAACCCTTTCCCTCCGACCATGATGCAACCCAGAATCGTCGACGACATTTGGGTCGAAAATCTTACAGCTGAGGGGAAGTCATACTATTACAACATGCGAACTCGTGAGACCCGCTGGGATAGACCTGAAGGAGTCACAGTTGTACGCCAAGGTGAAGTAGAAGGCACTATAAAGCCGGCAACAACGTTGCAAATGACTACAACATCTGTTTCGACAAGTGTTGGTGCACCGTCTGTCTCTCCAGCTACTCTCACTAAACCTCCTGAGGTCGCAGTCTGGACTGAGTATCATAATCAGGATGGCAAAGCCTACTATCACAATATAAAACAGGGGAGACAACTTGGGAAAAACCAAAGGTGTTGATTGATTGGGAAAGTAAGTCGAGATTTCTGTACATTATATTCTTTCTAGAGCAACAGTCAGAGCGAGTAATCAAAAGATATCAGAACAACCAAGCCCCTCTACAACGACGAAGGTAGCTGCTACACCAACAACCGTCGCTATTCCTGTGAGTAAACGTTTATTGCACACCTCATTTCAAATGCTGTTTTTTTTATCACAAATTCAATATCCATCTTGTGACCACTTACTACCAAATCCGAATTAAATCAAATATATTGTATTTTAATACCGCTCTGGACATGCAGTAAACTTTTCTTTTTCTTTTCAGGTGGCTGAAATTAAAAAGACGGCTGTACCTGAAACAAATGAAAATCCTAAACCTGCAGAAACTTTGAAATCTGATGCGATTGAAAACGGAGTCGTGGAGTCAAGTGAGCAGGAGTCTAAAGCGGACTCAGGCAAAACCCCAAAGGATAGTAGCCGACCGGTATCTAGCACGGCCGTCCATGGAACTCCATGGTGTGTTGTGTGGACTGGTGATGGTCGTGCATTTTTCTTCAACCCGAGTCAGCGGCTCTCTGTTTGGGAGAAACCTGATGAACTCAAAGGCCGAACAGATGTTGATCGTTTACTGGAAAAACAACCAAATACATCATTGTCAGGGAACACTGCCTCGCCTCAAGTAAACCCTACGGGTAATGACAATGAATCTGAAGCAGTCGATGGCGACCCTGTCCCTAAAAGACCGCGCCTGTAAGCCTCGTTTGTATTCCATAATTTCAATTAATAAGATAGTATTTTGAAATAAACGATGGGTTTTGCGAAAACAGTAACAACTAGTGGTTGGGTTCGCGAAAGCCATACGTATTAATTGCTTCATTTATCTGGTTTAGTCGTGTAAAGGATGCCGACATGTAGATAGTATTTGTAATTTTACGTTGTCGTATGATCTTAAGCTAGGGAAATATCGTGGTTCACTAGTGTGGAAAAGTAAAAATATGTCGAGGGATTTAGATTTCTTGCCACTTAGTTCCGTTGACGTGTTTCACAAAACTGTTTTTTTTCCCAGTGAAAATGAGGAAATTAATGGTCCTGCAAATGAAGTAGAAGTACCTACAGCTGTTGAACAAACAGAAGAGAACGATGCAGATAAGTTAGGCAGTTCGCTGGATAAGATCCCCATTGGACTAGAAGCTGCCAAAGAAGCCGAGGAAAGGGCCGCCAGAGAAAGAGCTGTACAACCGCTGGAAGTTCGTGTACGACGGTTCAGGGAGATGCTGGTCGAAATGCAGGTATGTCGGCTTTCGTCTTGATAATTCCCTATTTAACTAATCCAAATTGTGGCAGCCTAAGTTGATGCACAGTGGTGTTTCTCCTTTTTTATTTATGCTGACATTGCTTACGCTTTTCCGCATTGATAGCTTTTATTATCCTTTTTTAGGTTTCGGCTTTCTCCACCTGGGAGAAAGAGCTGCACAAGATCGTGTTTGACCCACGGTACCTGTTGCTTGCAAGTAAAGAAAGGAAGCAGACATTCGAAGCCTACGTCAAAGAGCGTGCAGAAGAAGAACGACGTGAGAAGAAGAGCAAGCTTAAAGAAAAAAAAGAGAAGTTCATCGAACTTATGGATGAGGCTGGGCTAAATTCGAAGTAAGTTTTAAAAAACCCAATGTTATTGCAAATCATGATCTCTAGTTAAAGTCAAAAAGCCACTTGTTATTTTTGCCCTTAAGGTACATTAGTGTTTTCGTGTACGTGTTGGATAACTGGTTTGTCCCAGTTCTGAAACGACTGATGTTTATTGATTTTTGCGACGTAATGACACCACTGACCCACTATGGTAAAGAAATGTGATCGCAAACAGATTGCAGTTAATATCATCCCTTCAAACTTAAGTGTCCAGCGGCAAATATTGTATCATGTCTGTGTTACATTCGGCACTGTGAGAAAATGTGTATATTTTCTACGTCACCTGTAGTCAGACTAACTATAATCGATAATAACGATGATGTTAATAATAATGCACGGTTTTCATAATTGTATTTTATGCTTTTTAGATCGTCATTTGGAGATTTTACTTCAAAGTTTTCAAAGGACGATCGCTTTAAAGCAATCGAGAAATCCCGTGATCGTGAAGCCATGTTTCAAGATTACTTAGTAGAATTGAGGAAACGTGAAAAAGAAGACAAGCATCGTGAAAAAGAAAAGGTAGGTTTATTGTGTATTACCATGAACTGGGTGCCTCAATTAAATTAATTTTAAGAGAGTCCGAGTTACTCACCTAATTTTTAACCATGCACTCAAGGCAACCCTTGACATGAAGCAATTCTCGATTGTACATAAATTGAAGTTTGTTAGTATTGTAATTCAATTTGGAAGGTTGTAATCGCACGAAAATGCTGATACATAAAACTTAAATAAGTTCCTGCAGTTATCTCGATATCAAACAGTGTAGTAATGAAAGTTATTAAGAGAACTGCGTTAGCATCTGGAACACATACAGATTGCATTAAGTCCCAACCATCGCATTTCCTACATACTGCATACTTCCGGTGAGACATTTCTAACGATTTAATTAATTGCTTTTTGTTCTTTGGAAGTGTAATTTACGCGATAATTTCCAGTTTTAAATTTCAAATTACAATCTATGCTCATTTTGATGTGTGACTGCGTATTGGTATGTGACTTTGTTTTCCAAATTTTAGTGAGCGTGTAAGGTTTGTTACATTTCAGATTAACGTTTTCAAACATATTAGCATACAACAAATAAACTAGGCGAACTACCTTTCGGAATCCGGATTGTTTGTGATATAACAGCTCTAGTGTGCTACTGTTTTCAGAAGTCAACACGTACTAAATCGGTTTGTTCATTGCAAATTTCTTTGGACATATTAACGCTGAAAAATTGCATAATATGCAGATTACTTAACGGGATTGTTAACAATTTTTATATTGAAACTAATAAAGTTGATAATTTGATTTTCACAAAGTATTTGTTTTTCCTCTGGTATGTCTACTTTTTTAATTTGTCAATTTGCATTCAAGACTCCACTAGTTACTTCATTTAACGTCTTGTGTATTCGTTTGCTCAACATTGTGAAGTAATCAAACCCCAACTACACTGAAATGTTCACTCTTTGTGCACGTCTAATTTTGGATCAGCAATTACTCCTCTGATCTATACATGTGTAGGAATGTATCAGTATTTGCTCCTCCATTCTTGTTTCATCTTTTCTATTGTCGACACTTCGTCCAAAATGTGTGATGGACACATTTTTCTGTGTTGTGGTTCAGTCAATATCAAATTTTAAAGCTATGAATAAATACTCGGGTTAAACAGTCAGACAATTGTTAGGATGTACATTATTGAAACAGGAGGACATTTGAATATTAGTAAGTTGCGCTAATATGTATTCCAAATATCTCGGGTCATTTGCTAAAAACGTGTGTACAAAGTATCGTCACAAAATAAGACGCTGATTACGTGTGGAAAATTATTTAAGAAATTTTAGGTATGAAGGTTCCTATTTTTTTCAGTGGTAACTAATTACAATTTTTCCTCATCACATCAATGGGCATGTTTAAATTATTCTCCTGCATATAGTTTGGCATATTTGTTCACCCCTTAGATCTAAAACGAATGATTTCTAAAGCTTAAAATCTTTTGTTGACCGTATAATTAATGTTATTAAAGAAGTTAAACGTTTCAAAACATGACACCATTAGTACGCCACTTACTAAATAACGTAAAACGGTCCGTTGAAAAGCCCTTAATGTTTTTTATAATTTCTTTTTTAATTAGAATTGTGATCAAAAGTGATCAATTAGTACAAGAAAAGTGCTATCTTTAGGCATCTTTAAAGTTAATGACAAGCTTCGTAGTTTTTTCACGATTGTAGCTGGACATAATTTGGTCATTCTGGACAAAGAAGGGCATATGAGCTGGTCATTCGCACCGTTTAGTGTAAAAAAAACCCAGTGAAATCTTTGAAAACAAATCATTAATGTTGGTATGAGATTTTTTCACATAAAGCTATGAAAACAGTCATGTTTTTCATTAAATTTCTTGAATAATAGATAGTTGTCTTATCACAAAGTAAGTTTTCTGTGATGAATAGTTTGCAGATACTTTCTCCACTAAACTGCATTATTCAACAGTATTGATACAAATTACCAATTTGATAAGTTATCTACGCACGTTTAATGATCTGAAGTAAGAAAAAGTTAAACAATTTGCACAAAATGCACACAATAGTTAAAAATGCAATCACATTTACTTGGATGCTATTATAATTTGGTAAGCCTATGTAGAGCGTTCACGCGTTCAATCAGATTTATGTTACGCTCCAAAATTGTAATTTATCGAAGTGTTTTGTTGAATAGAGGTGTCACTATATCCGAACATCGTATACATCTCAGTAAAGTTATAAATTGGGGAAAAGAAATTTAATACTTCACAATAATATAGGACGTAATTTTCATTTCTTGTTAAAATTATGATCCCTGGAACTACTGGGATATGTATATCACTCTAATGTCATAACAAATTTCAGGATTTGGGCTAAAAGTAATGTAAAATGAGTAGTAACTCGTTTGGAAATTCGTATTGGCTCATTCAACAGATTGGAGATAATTATAGAAGTAAATCGACTTGAATTTGTCAGGTATATGGTTATACAGTTGATTTTGGCAGTCGTTCGCCTTATTGTTTCTAACATCAGCTAAAATTGTAAGTAATATAACATGAACCAAAACAATTTTTTGGGTTTTCATTATAACAGCTCTAAGTTGTTCCGGGTTATAAACTTCCGGATTTCAAGGGTAACAATTTTTTAAATCCAGTAATTAACCAGTTTGAGTGTTGTGAATTTATTCGAATTTTCTGAATGAATACGTTTAAAATAATCTGTGTATTCTGATCACATGCTGTAGTGCTGTAATTCTAAGTAACTTGTAAATTTTTCAGTCTGTTTAATGTTCGAACTTTTATGTTGGTTTGTTTCTGTTGTAGTGGGGAATACTTACGAAATCTTAAGATGTCCACATTACTCAAATATCGTTCTCCACGTCGTTGTTAATAGTAAATTATATTTAATTTAGGTTGCATTTATGGCACATTTTAATTCATAAACCCCAATCTGTACTTATTAGGTTCTTTAAATCTATGAAATTCGCTTTCAAGAGGAATCGGAATGCCACATTGATGAGATGGGTTCCTAACACACCAGTGTAACTTCTGATATCAATTCTCTCAGGTTTGTTACGTCTTAGTTTTTGGCGGACTCATTGTACGAATTACTTTATTAAGCGTGCACTTGTACGTATGTATGCTTATTTTCGTCTGCATGCCCATTGTAGGACAATACATTAGATCTTACACACCTAAATCACTACATAGAAACAGTTTTTTACGCGATTTCCATCGTCTATACACAAGGTTTCTTTATTGGAAATCACAAATCTATAGTGAGGGGATAGATTCCTAATTCAGAATCGTCACTGGGTTTCGTAAACTTCAAAGTTGAAAGACTGATACTACAAATCGTTTATACATTAATGAGCTCTAAATCCAGATAAATGCAAATCCTTGATTTCCAGGTGCTTTTTTAAAATCTCGTTTTTATTATTATTATTATTATCATTATTTTTATATCTTTGATCACAAATTGATATTCGTAAGTTTTAATAAAATCGCATTTTGTCTATAACGTCATCCGTTCTGTTTGCTACATCAGAGTAAAATTTTACTGTGTCCATAGAGTTATTTCATGCTTTTTATATTAAACATTTACGTGCGAGACTGATTTTATGCAAAATCTAACGCGTGGTTTGTTGCAATTAGCCAATCTTAAAACTCAACTTGGATCACAGTATATTCTAAACAGCTTTTTGGTTCCATTTAGTTGATTGATTTCTTCCATGATGAAATGAGACGAAATCAAGTAACTATTCTGCACAATTCTACTCAACTGGTGGTAAAAACCTAACATCAGCATTTCTAATTTTCAATTCCTATAATCTAATTGAATATGTAGATTTGTGAAGTAATTCCAACGCAGTGTAATTTCTACCTGTGGACCAGATACCACACATTCTGTCTCAGTCAAAAATCAAGCGTGTCTTAAGATCTACCAACAACAGCAGGCTTTCAGTTTTCGCATCGTTTGAAGTGCCACTCAATTTGATCTTAACAATAAGTAACTTTGCAAATTCGGTTTCGCTACTCAAGACATTCAACCACGAGTTAGAATTATTAATTTACAGTCAAACAATATTTATTTTCAATAACTCCAAAGTACTTTATTCCTGGTTTATGCTTATGCTGAGCGGATCTAGCGTGCTCACATCACTTAATATTTTTCTGCGCAAAAATTTTGTTCAAATGCAGTTATGTAAGGAAATCGGGTTACTAAATATCGGCCGTGTAACATAGTACTTCCATACACACCCAGTTGTCATTACTACATTATGATCTAAGCATTATGTTTTCTTCCATGTAGGTCAAAATTGACTTCTTCAATCTGTTGAAAGAACAAAAAAGTATCAATCGATACACTCATTGGACTGATGTCAAACGCAAGTTGGATACTGATCCTCGATATAAAGCTGTAGATTCTTCTTCGAAAAGGGAGGATTGGTTCCGAGAATTTATTCGTAAACTTGATGATGTAAGTTTTATTTTTGAGTTATTATTTATTTATTTGAACACATAAATATTGGTACAAGAGGGCGCCAATATATAAGCGCCACACAAAACAATGAGAATTCGAAGAGAAAAAAAGTAAGGAGCGTAAAAAAAGAGAACAATAGCGAAGAGATTGGTGCACTGACCACCTTTCTGCCTTTTCCAACCAGTCCCAGAGTGACAAATAATGCACGACGTCGAATTCTCTGGGACGACATTCGTAGAACATGTTCAAACCACCGAAGTTGGTGTTTCAAGATGGTGACATCGATTGCATTATCATCTCTGTGCCCGAACACACGATGCTGGACCTCTTCATTACTGACATGGTGTTGCCGCTGGATGTCAACAATCCTTCGGAGACAGCGATGATCAAACAAAGAGAGTCGTCTAATTTTCTCAACTCGGAGAGGCCAGGTTTCACAAGCTTAGAGCAGAACTGCTCTCACCGACGCGTTGTAGATCCGACCTTTTACAGCCAGACTAACATCACGAAGGTGCCAAAGGTGACCCAGATTGAGTTTGAACTTATAGATTCAGATAGTTAATGCAGAGATTGCAATTTAACTCATTTTCAGGATTGTATGGTGTGGTGTTGTTTAAACATTAGATATTCAGAATGTTTTATCTCCAAATTCTGATGGACAAGAAAACAAGTAGATTTTGATAGTTCGCAGTTTACCAAATAATGCATCATTTTTTTGATAACTTTTGTTTATTTAGTAAATCGGAACATCAACGATTTTTTAGCAGAAAGTAGGCGAATGTGTTTAATACTAGTATGTTTATTCTCTGATTAATTCCACCGCAATGTTCAGTATTATTTGACTTCACATACTTTTAGTATTCCATATTAATTTTACTTCAGCATTTGATAGAAATGGATAACTTATCTTACCGTGTATCGTGGGATAGTTCATATAGTTTGTGTGAACAAACAGAAGAATTAATATTATCTAGTTCCAGACTTCTAAACTAATCTTCGTAGTCATATAATAGTATCATAGCAGCCTCATCGTCTAGTGTTTCATATTTCAAGCTTTCTGCTGATTTTGAACTTCTTACCAAAATTAAACATCGGCTTCATGAAGTTTACTTCCGGATCTTAAGTTTGACTGAGATGATTGTGGTCGCAATCACCAGTCATTTTATGCTCAAATAAATCAGAAGTAACTCATGAATTATTAAATTGTCCTTGCTTTCATCAAATAAGGTTGATTTCGTCTCCCAAACCACTACAGATAGTCTTATAATTATCCATTTACGAAACTGTCCTAACTGATCCTAACAATTATCCAAAGTCTGTTTAAACATCCACTGCTGATTTTTTAGGAATACCTTTTTTGTTATCCCACTGTGGATGCTAATCGTCGACACATTTATTTTGATTTACATAACATTATTATGGGAATAGTTCCTTCCGAGTTTGTATCACAACCACTTTCTTCATAGCTTTCTTACTAGGTTGAATAAACGTACATAAAATATGGTGCTAGTTTGGCACAGTGTATATAAGTAGTTATCTCTCTGTTTTGTTTTTACTGTCAATAAAGCTTGGGATTGTGTCAGTCGTTGTTGTAAGTGGTTGTAAAGATCTTTTTCATTTCAAGACATTCATGTGCATACTTTTGAAAAATAATTAGGTCCCCGTTGTTCGAGAAGATAGTTATACAAGGAAAGAACGAGAAAAAAAGGAACGTCAAGAAGCATCCCTTAGAGAACGTGAGAAGGAAGTGAAGGAGGCATTATCGTCTTCGTTGAGGGAAAGAGACAAAGAAAGAGAACAACATTTGCGCAATGAACAAGAAACAAACTTTCATTCAATGCTGCAGGATATGATTCGTGATCCTAGTCTGTCATGGAAAGAAGCCAAGAAATTGCTTCGTAAAGATCCTAGATGGGAGGCTGTTAGTGATGTGTTCGAACGATCTGAACGTGAAGAGATGTTTAAAGAACACATCAATGGATTGTCTAAAAAATCTCGCGAAATATTTTATCGACTATTGAACGAAATCGAAGGAGTAAGTTAGTATAGAAATATCGATTTCGTAGATTTCTTTCGATCTATCATGGAAAGAAGCAAAGAAAATAATCAATACCGATCCTCGTTTTGAAAAGATTCCCACTGACAGAGTACGTACCTTTCCCTCATTTATAATCTTTCTGTGTCTAGAAGAAAGAATCCGAATATTTATTATGGGTAGATATGAAAAAAAGTCAGGCGAAAGAAGCCTTTAAGGAACTACTAAGGGAGACAAAAATAATTAACACACGGTAAGTTGATATATGTTTAGTGTTATTATTCATAAAATAGAACCAAAACAACTCTTGAAGAGAATGAAAATCACATTTCAGATATTATGGAGGCTCTTGAGGTTAGTAACATTCCTTTGTATTACAGTTGTCAATTTCTTATGTATTTAATCCTTAATAATGGTTTCTGTATTGCAGAAGGATAAAAGATTTATCGCCTTGGATGCTTTCGAGGAAGAACGTAATGCTTTGATCGAAGATTATATTGATAGTCTAGACAAAAGACGCACTCCAACTCCATTGTCGATGTCAGCAAAAGATTCCAATCGTCGGTAGTATCACAATAAGATCAATTTTTTTCTGCATTTTCATTTTGATTCCATCAGTGACTGCATGTTCTTATTCTTCATACAAAACTAGTTTTCTCATCACACTACTGGAATTTGTTAACAAAATGTTGTGTTGGTTGTAATATTGATACTGTTAAATAAACTTGTTCATTCTATGCATTTTTTTGATTCTCAAGGAGTGGAGAAAAACTTGTTTGAATTTACTTTCTTCATTTTGCCTATTTATAATCGTGTTCGTTTTATGAAATAATGCTACATGCATTTCATCCCGTTATTAGGTATTATGGATCGAAACATGCATTTCGTGATTCATATAATATTATATTGTACTGCCTATTTAATTCAGTTCAATAGATTTTTGAAATTTTGACGCATCGTAGATTTTTTCAGGTAATGTTAACACAGTGCATACTTTAGCGCTATTTTCATTGGAAGACAAAATCAAGATTTTTGGTTATATTTTCGTCCGTGATGCTTTTCAAATTCCCTGTTCCTTTACTGTGGAATTAGAAAACTATGTTGAAGCATTCCACTGAACATTTTTACGCGTGTATTGTTACGTTATCATATGAATGTAGTTTTTAGTACACCAACTGCAGTATTGCTTATCTGTTGTAAGTAGCAAGAAGTTTATTGTTTTTAGTTCACCTAACTAGCGTGTGTGTATGAGAATTATGAACTTCACTACTTAGGTTCAAGATTGTTAGTACCGTCATAAAAAACCAATATTAACCTAGAAATCATTTTACTTTTACGATGCCAGTCAGCATTACATCTGATTTGCCCCATTCACTAGTCAGAGAATGTATTGACTGTAGCGGTGTTCCTCAGCAATTAAGTACATATATAGCCTTTTTAATCCACTGGTGATACTAGGCTAAGCTCATGTTCAAATGCTTTTTAGAATAACACTGATATGAGCAGAACATCAGAGTCACATGAGCTGAATTCATGTTCGGCGACTTCAAAAGAAGATTATTTTTCAGACACACTACAAGATGCTCCAACGTAAGTTCTTTAGATTTCAATTTGTGTCTTATTTAAAAATTGCTGGTAGTTTTGTTTCGAATATGCATTTTGTTTAAATAGCAAGTAAATTCCCACTAGCTTTATTGGTAATAAAGTTCTCAACTAATCATATATCTTCATTTTAGCCTCATCTATTTTTAAATTGTTTTGCGAGATTTTAACCACTAAGAACTGTAAATTCTTTCTTGATTCGGTGGTTGGGCTTGTCTATCGTTGTGCTCAACCTAGTCATATTGGCAGAAACACTCATGCCTTTAGGTCACGCTGTCCCAGCTAGGATAGTTGTAGGACGCTAAGATTAGAAGCACTAAGTCTTAAGACGGTCGTACTGCTAGCTGTACATGATGTTTACGCCATTAGGCTGCATTGAAATATTTACCCTATTGTAATGGTAGTAAGGTGTTTCCTCCAAACAATTAGTATGTGCAGCTATGTTGCCTTCTCAAAACAGAGAGGGCTAGGGAAGTAAAGTCCTAAAAATTGTATATCTTACTTTACTCCATGGATTCCCTTCTCTAGTGGTAAGGCCTTTGGCATGCAGATCTAAAACATCAGGAACTACTTGCTGAATTACTTTGTATGACTCTCCTCAATCGGTCGCTCCTAAGGCTCTGTGCTCATACTCTCAAATTTCGAAGACTGGAATTTTCCACCGCTCGTTTTTTCGTAAAAAGCATACTGAAGGGAACTATATACCTGTAACAACTATCTAAATTACACATTGGAGTTAAATGTTCGAATCTTATAAAACGTTGGAAACAGGTTTCTTTCGTTAGGACTATGAGGTCTTGCATCACCGACAACAATCGTGCCTCCGAAACTCGCATACAGAATTGAAAGGTGGTTGTTCACTAAGTCTTACCTAGCCAATCCAGAGAAACGATAAAAATTGCCCTCCGTGTTTCTGGAGACTTAACAATGAAAAAGTGAAAAGTATATTTCAAGAGTAACTAAGAAAGTATTTAGTCTACCGCGAATGTTGTGTGTCCTGCTGATGTCGACAGATATAAGAGGTATGTATCACCGATCAAAAGTGAAGTGCCTGGAAGCAGAGGGTTAAGAAGATTATCATCATCCCGTCAGCCTCGGAACAGGAAGAGGAACGAAGGTAGTTTAAGTGTAGGTTGACAAAAGCTCAAACAATGATTGCGGTCAATGGTGGGCGGCGAACGGACGAGTAGTAGAAATGATGGAGGTATTGAGTAACAGTGAAAAACTATTCAAAGTGATCTGGGAACTTGGTACAAAGCAGCTGTTAGTTAGGTTCCTTCAGAGATATACGATACGGTTATTCGCTTCCAATGCTAGATATTAGTGTTGGGCATTTCAATTTACCTGTCCCTCTAAGAGAAGCAGAATGGGGAATGGGAATAAGTTTGCCTCCATCCTTAATGAATTTGAAACGGCTATAACTAGTCGGAAATGTGTTTGAGAGAGAGCACTAGGTTGGAATGAATTAACAGATTGATTGCTGTGTTGGCTAGAATTTGGAAACTGGATGTAGTCGCACCTGACTAGTGTGGATCATTGATCGTCCCAGTTTATATAAAAAGACATCCCTTCGGTTTGATGGTGTCGAAAACACTAGCGTCAACAACCATCCGGTGTCTAACTAGAATATGTGAAGAGAGAACCTGGAAAAGTCAGGGTGTCTACAGACCTAGAGGTGGATGTGTCTGCCGAATATTCGCCCTTCATTAGATTCTTTCAGACATCCTTGATCTTTAGGAATTATTCAACTCTGTTGGTCGAGGTGCTTTGTGGGGATGTCTCTCATTGGAAGACGTACCAAAGAGGTACATAAACCGTGTGGTTAGTGAGACTGATCAGCACGTCTGAGAATCGTTCACTGCGGTGCTGGCGCGTTTACTCTCGTCCTTTAGATCTTGAATTTCAAAATTATCCTATGCCTTTCTAATCTAAGAATTCTTTCCTTCCCGGATCATATTGTTCCTAGCGAAGTCTTTCTACTACTACTGATATTGTTAGCACTCCTACTACTTTGAGATTTATCCTGGCAATCTCATCTTGCTGTGATAATAAGGAGTGTTAACCCGGACCTGAGTATATGTTATCAGATTCTACTTTAATTCAGACTGACTTCTGATGTACTTATTTTTAATGGTAGTGATGTTTTCATCGTAAACGAGATGAGAAAATTATTATTAAGTAACTTTTATCGGTCACATTAAATTGCCCTGAAGTTCAATATTGGTAATTTGTTTCTTTAAGCGTATTCTTGTCGATTGTACAAGCTTCTATTTTGAGTGTGGTGAGACACATCTCAAAATATATGGATCCTATCTGAAGTATTGATTTCAAGTTAATGAGATAAGTCAAATGAATAATATCTGGTGCGAATTAAATATTGTAATTTACCTTCTATCCCCAGGATATTCATATATCCATCGAATCTTATACCCATTGTATCAAGCCTGTTAAATCTTGATAGACGTAGTATGTGGTTTGAACCCTTGACTCATATGTTAATCATTCTGTTATGAGTCTGCAGATTTATAGACGTCCACGATTAGAATTAGCATGATATGCTAGTTCGACGTATGACATCTGTACCAACAGAAAGAATGCTCATTGTTTTATATCAGTAATTATTTTGATATAGATTTATGGGTATAGATATTTTATAGAGTCCTAGGGATATCACTTGAAAGATCGAAAATTGCAGGTTCAGTTGATCACTTTGAACTAAGTGCTTTGCACAATGGTTTAACATTCGAAATTACTCTTTGCATACATAATTGAGATGCAATCAATTTTGAGCAACTGAGTTGTTTTAAACACAATATTAGCTACTGGTTGATGTGAAATACACCATCTTAACTAAATGCATTGTCTGTTCAATATGAATTTCATACATGTACGTCGATCTTCTTGCTAGATCACTCTTCCTACTCACTCCTTACAGTTTGTGTTCGTTCAAGGCATCTGGTTTGTTCATACGAAGGCGACACTGAGACACTGGGTCTATGATCTATGGTTTGCAATCACGGTTTTTTAAAATTCATCTAGATATTTTTCTATCTAAGCGCTTGACATTCGATTTCTGACCTTTCTCATAAACATTCTGCCTGCACTTGAACTTTTTGATGGTACCGATGATTCAACATTTGTAAAACCTTTGGGAAACTTGGGAAGATTTGATGTTTATATATAAATTGGTTGATTATTTGTTGGAATTCTGCAAATATATCCAGTCTTTAGCGTTAAATGCTAGATACTAAGATTCGGTAATTAAAAATTTAGAAAGAGAGTGTTGATCAAATTCACTACTTTTAGCTGTAAGGTAATTGGGTTGGCATCCTGATGCATTTAGTCTTGATATCAGGTGATAAAAATTAAAATCTATGGGATTTCAGTACTGTCAAGCTCCTCAGGATATGCTTAAAGAATCTTGCATACTGTATCGATTTTTTAATCATAGTTAGCATATAACCTGTCAGTCTAAGTTACTATACCTACATAAGCCATTCGACAGTAAATCAATAATCCCAGAAGCAATGGAAAAGTATTGATATCAATTACAATAAAAATAATGAACAGTACAAACGAAGCAAAGAAGATTATGATTTCTAGATACAGTGAATTAATATAATTACACAAATCCTAGTTAATAGTGTTTCACCATTTCATTCAATATCCTCAATTGTAAATTAGATCTACTGTTGCAGTTTAGTTGAACATAACTGAAATTAGCTATTACATGAGTTTATTGTTTAGAAAGTTTTAAATCCTATATAATATGGTCAGTTTGATCAATTGGTAGATCATTACTTTATATGATCTTTGTCGATAATTATTCAACGAATGCACTGAGGTAAAACGATTGTTTGAACAGTTTTTATTATTGAGTTCGAATCCGGCACGTGGGATCGTGGATACGCACTGTCGAGGAGTCCTACATTAGGACCAAACGGCCGTTTAGTGTTTCCAGGTTTTCAATGGTAGTCGGTTCAAGATCTCAAAAACACATTTCTGTCTACATAAATTTAAGCATTTAATTAGTTTCTTTGAAAATCGTGAGCTAGCTGATATCGGTTACTGAAATACATCATGTTATTAATTCATTATTTGACTGTATTAAGCACTAATTTTCGCGATTACTATTTTTTCCTACTTCGTTGTATAGTATTTCTATTCTTCGCCAATTTCATTCCAAGCAAAATATGATTCATACAGTGATACTATCAGTTTATTGATCTGATTATATCCTTGTGTTTCGACGAATTTTGATCGACCTAGACACGGACCTTGGTAATATCCACCTACTTACTCGGGTTAAATGAGGTCTTTAAATTAGTATGAGAAATTAGAATTAATATTTACAGTATGATATTAGGATTAGGAATTAGATTAAGAGGCTTCATCACGAAATGAAATCAGTTGTAGTGTGAAAATCCTATTTACCCAAACGGACAAATGAACTTTACGCCCAAATCCAAGACTTTTTATCTTCAATCTGATTGATTCATTCATAAATTTTAGTTCCGCCGTCCTTCTTACTCCGAACTTCTCCCCAGCCTATAATAAACAATTAATTTAAAGTATTTGTTCTTGTTTATAGAATAGACAATTACTTGTTTTGTAGTTTTAGAGTTTGTAAAGCTCATCTAATTTGTTGTTTACATCATAGAAGAATAATAATAATAATAAACAATTACTTGCTAACTCGACTGTCTAGAAATTAAGCAATCGCTCTTAGTCTTGAACGTCACCTGTACTTTTTCTGGCGTGGTCCTACATAAACACTGCTACAGAGTCTCATGCTCAGTCACCAAGTGTTTCCTGGTTTCCAACAGTTAAGTTGAAGATTTTGTTTAACATAAATTTTCTCGGAAGACCTACATAGTTACTTTTGCTAAAGAGTGACTGTTATTTGACAGTCTTTGTTCCATTCAGTCGGTCAGCGTAAATTCTGGTACATATTTTGATCTCTCCAAGTTGCCACACCACATAATCATAACGAGGTACAAGGGCAGTAAAATAGTAACAGTATCTGTGTTAATAGAAAAGATGTGGTATAGATAACATGATTTGAGAAAAAAAGTGAAATCACAGAATAAGAAGTACCAGATAATTTTGTAATGCATGATCTGATGAGACTTATTTATAGGCGACATTTGAACGATGCCAAAGTTACCTTGAGAATGGACACCTACTAATTAGGGTTTTAAGCCAGTTGGAGTCACGATTTACAGTTGATAGTTAGGGTTAAGAATTAGGTTCAGGTTTCTCATCACGAATTGACGTCAGCTATAATACCAAAATTCTATTGGATGGATGAATTTCGCGCCAAAATTCAAGACTTTATCTACGATCTGATTGGTTCGTCCATAGATTATTGTCTCGCTCATGATCTAAGGGAAGGCAGTATGAATGCTTCTGTGTCATTGCTATTGATTCCGAGCCATATCAAACAAAGTTTCGCATGTTTAGTTAGAATAATTACACTGGCCCTAACCAGGTAGGTAATCTGTACCTAATGAAACGTCTCAGACGAACAGTTGACAAATTTATGGACTGATCCTAGGTTTCAGTTTCATCTTCTATGAATTTCTCCCAGAATTACTCATACACCGGCAAATATTATTCGTTACGATGAGCGTTAGTTTAGTATATATAGTACTTGTTCTTGACCATTTCACTTGATTTTGGTCAATCATAAATAAGTGAATACACACTGTACCAATTTGTAGGCATTCATTTTACTTACATAATACTTAATTGAAATTCAACAGTTGATGACCGATGGAAATAAAGTTGTAAAAATTATAGCTTAAATATAGAAGACCTTCCACAACTTCTAGAACTAATACAATGAATACATTCAGTTAGTTAAAACAATGAACACTTCTAACTAACAACTTAGCATCACATTAGATTTGAATAACAGTTAAACTTTTTTTTTAGACAAAACAGAAACGTAGTTAAAGTGAAAAGGTCAATTTCGTCAGTCTTCAACTAATCAAATAGTTTATTTATAAGATATGAACATTGTTAAATTGTTGCTTGACCCGTTTGTATAGATGATATTATACGTGATTTGATTCATTTATTTATGAACATTAGTATAAGGATGCATCAAATACATAGGCACCACACAATAATAATGAGGCCAATGACATTTATCATTGATTTGTGTGAGGGCTATAATATTGCCCGGATGCTCAAACTGAAGCGTGTGGTTTACTTAGGGTGTCACATTCTGAGTCTTTGACCTACAGGTCTAATCCACAATACAGTGAAGCAATGTCAAGAGATGCAGTCTCATGGTATCCGGTGAGTAACAATAGGTTCATACGTCTTTGTTCCCTTAAGATACTGGAGCCTATGTAAGCCATTGGTTTGGAATCAGGGTTTTCCAACTCCCCTAGGTGGATCCTCCATATCCGCCAATCGGTTAAGGCGCCGGACATTTGCTTTTCGTTCTCTGAGTTTCGTAAACAACACCCTCTCCGCGAGTGGGCAGTGAGTAGGACTCCCCTGGCAGTGGCTGTATATGCGTGGCCATGTGAGAGCATTTGGAGAGGCTGGGCTGACTCTCTCTACCTTCTGCTGTACCAGGGCATTTGGGAGATATCTTGATTCATTAAGTGGATAACGTTTTGGCATTTGAAGTGAAAGGTACTAGATTTGAGTCCTGGAGTGAACATCAATTATAGAAGCAAAGATGGATAGTGGCAAGCAGATTCTAGTAATCAATACCAAGTGAATTCAAAGTTCACGCCATTGCACAAGCAAGTGGCTATAAGGACCCAGTAGCTAAGGGGATAACGCTAGAGCATTTGAAGCGAATGGTACTGGGTTCAAGTTTCAGAGTGAACACCAACTCTGAGACGCTGGTACGCCCAGCTGACAAGTCGCAAATAAGACGAAACGCATGTCCTGGATTCCACTGCTTGCCTCTATCCACCTTTGCTCATAAATAGCTTCTTATATTCGTATCAATCAAATTCAGACTACATTAATGATTTGATTGATTAATTTTTCTCAATCTATCGGAACATACTATCTAAGCTAAACGAGGTGCAGTTGTCAAATAAATCAGTAAATACTGGTCTTTTTGAAAAGAGCATTAGCTGATTTTATAGTACATGTTTTCTGTATCCTAGATGGTTATACTGATCTACGTACTGTTGATAGATAAGGCTTGTTCAGTATAAGGAACTAGTGAAAATCATTGAATTTCATAGTTAACATCGTAAACGGACCTAAGACAGTCAATGGAAACCAGGACGTACTAAATCAATATTTCGTCTGGCTTTTTATTAGTTGTCTAACTATGGGCAAACCGTGTAGTAAAGGATGTTCTACTTGGAATTAATTGGTTACTTATTCCATTGTTTGCAGTTGTTTCATGGCATGTTTCCAAATTTAATATATATTCAATGTATTATACACTAAATCTAACTAGATAGCAATTGAGATTTGTAAATATGGATTAGTTTACACTTCAACTCAATGATCTAGATGATTAAATCACTTGCCTTGACGTCTGAAAATCTAAGGACGTTTATATTGAGCATCCCATCATCGTATAATGGGACAATCATTGTCGTCTGGTACTTATTGTTTTTTTTCAATGGTTGTTTCATAAGAGTCAGTTCGTGATTTGAATGAAACCTTAAAACCAGAACACCTCATGCCTTTAAATGAATTTATGCACAAGCATTCATTTCTCGAGTTATCGTTGATAATAAACATTTTCTGTTCAATGATAATAGATGGACGATAGGATTAAATTTTTCCAAGTTTTATCAAGAATTTAGGTTTTCATTACCCAGTCACATCAGTTTGGATCAATGTCATGTTTGGTATAAAGTAGTTGGAATCAATCGTAATAAGTTCTATATATATAGGGTTTAGTGCTGCTCGATTGACGAATTGTCACGATATTACTACCTTAAGTCACAAATATTATAACCACAGGTGAATGGTGGCTAACAGTGGAATCCGGGACTCGTGTTTCGTCCTTTTGATCCTAAATTCCAGTATCTTTTCATGCATGTCTTTCCATCTTGTCTTTCCAAACCATGTTCCTAATGTTTATTCTTTATTGTCATTATTACCACTACGGAAGTTGGATCGTTTTTGTTATTCTTATCTTGTCGTACTAATCAGGCATAAGAACTAAGGTCATCTGTGTCAGGCTTCATGCTGATGACATATATCTGTTTGTCCATGAATATAATTAATAAACTAACTACCCATTAAGTTTAGTCTCTATCATCATATCTATGCACTTGTCTATAGTTCCTTTTTTTGTTTTGTTCTTCCTCATTTTTTCTCTCCCTTGTTTACATAGTATGAATGATTTTGTTCAATCAAAAGAAATTTCTCATTCATTAACTATTGATAATACTGTTGAAAATAGTAAGTGTTTATTAAATAATGTTTACTTTTATCTAATACACAGTTTGCTACAAGTATTGGTAAAGATTGGTGATTGATAACATTCGAAGATATGCTTCACTTCACAAATACATAACGTACCAGGCTGTGAAACTGAGTTACTTAAGTTCTAGTCATACAGAAAATAATCTCTTCTAGACTGTGGGTATATCTTGCTGATGTTTACCAAATAACATACAACCTAGATCTAGGATTCTTTGCTAACTACCTCCAACTATCTAATTCCTTCAAATTTTGTAGTTAGCATGATGTCTTTTGTAGGTCGCTTATTCGAAATTCAATGGTGTTTTTATCTTCCGATTTTAATTAAATCATGATACTATGTAATTTCCATTACAATAGAAAAAACCAATCCGAACAACTTATCTCTATGATCTATTAGTAATGTTCGGTTCTCAAACGAAACAATCCAATATATTTCACCGATTGAAATCATGAGTCAATTGAAGCTAGACCAATATGGGAAACCTGTAAGCCGTTACCAGTAGAGTTCAACCAGGTCTGTTGTGAGAAATCAACTCACTGAAGATATCGGTGTACGGTGGCGCAAATTCCTGGGTTAGTTGAAGTTAGACATTAACACCGTTGGATGCCGGCTCAGTGGTCTAGTTGGTAAAGTGCCTGGCGCGAGACTGATAGGTCCTGGGTGCGGGATCGTGGGTGCACACTGCTGAGGAGTCCCATACTAGGACAAACGGCCGTCCAGTGCTTCCAGGTTTTCCATGGTGATCTAGCTTCAATTGACTCATGATTTCAATTTGTGAAATTTCTAAAATCTCCACAAAACCCCTTCTGATATTTCAGTATATCTTCGTATGTATATATACATATATATAATTTCAGATGAATATGTTCTTCATGAAAAGAACGAAGTAACTAAGGCAAACGATGTATTTCCTAGGGATGATTATGAATTCCTAGGATTATTAGAACAACAAATCACCAATAAAAAAGTGAGTTGAGATTATTATATATGACTAATTTTTAATTTGCTTTCTTCACTTTTCCATTTGATTATTTATCCTTCTCTCTCTCTCCATACATTTCTTCGATATAAACAAAAAACATGATCTCTTTACTGCTTAAGGCCATAATAGTTCTAGATAAGTCGAAAAGAAAAGAAAAACTTTTGAAAAGTTTATTGTACTTTTATGTCTTAAACCAAGTTCGCATTTCTATTGTGTAGTGGGGTTCTCAATTCTGATATTGGTAAACAGGCTTACTATTTGCAGTAGAACCGGTCAACCGAATCGATAAATGACTATTTATATATATATATCTTAGAAATTTAGGCCAAATCTTCCCATCAATGCTTTGTGTATCTCATTATTTAGAAAAAAAAACCTAAATATCGACTAATCATTTGGCTGTTATGTGTTTGATTCACTAGATCAATATAATTTATTATCCTGATATTGATAATGTAACCCGCTATGGTTAATGAACTTGATAAATCGTCCCATAACTATTGGGATGGAATGATTTAATTGTTGAGAAAAACCCGTTGGTTCTTAACCTGATTTAGTTTATTTTGGTTTGGAAAGTTGAATAGTAACTGACTTGACTTGAGATAAACTTCTTACGTTCTTTTAATACACGACGTTTTCATCGTATAGCTCTGATGGACCAAGGTAACGAGGGATCTAGGAAATGGTGTATTATTTATGATAGTTATAAAATTGATAACAAAACAACAGCTGACATCAACTGTGGAAATCATAAAGATGTGTTATAGGCTTTTCAGGTTGACATTGTCACTAAATCCTAAACATAATTTATTAATTCTTAAACAGACACATACCAACTGGTTGCACTACATTTTATGAACGAAGTACTTATATGGTGCCTCTTAGATTTCTAAGCAAAAATTCACTCATCCATATAAGTAAAGAGCATTTTTACGAAATAGCCCCTAATCCTAACTGTAAATACCTAAATCTAATGGGGAACAATGTGATGACTATTAAGATACCGTTTGATTCCTTTTAAGGGTTCAAGAATATGGACAATCAATATACATTAAGACAAGTTTATATGCCTCTTTTTTATTTACAGATAGAATAACCTGTAGAAGAAACATTGGTAGACTTATAATGGTCATGTAAAATCCGTTCACATTTTACAGTTGTTTCCTCCGGAAACTATCCTTTTATCAAAACTTTTCTGATTTCCTAAATATTCGTGGGTGTTGTTCTAGACTTGTCCGTTTACCATACCTACTATACTTTTAAGGCATCTTCGCCATTATTACGTCTACGTAATTTATTTCAACTTAAAAATACAAGTTATTTTAGTCTTTCCGGTTATTTTGTAACCTAAATTTTTAACCTTGCCGACTAAGTTTAATCCGAAGGATACATAAATATATCTGTATACTGTAATTACTCGTTTCTCTTTCATGCTAATAGGTTTTGGCTCCCAAATGCCCTGGTCTAGTTGAGGGTAAGGAAAACCGTTCTCCCTCTCAAAATGCTCTCACATGGCCACGCCATTTGTTCCCTCAGGATCCTGGAACTCATGTGTGCCATTGGTTTAGAATCAAGGTTATCCAACTCTTTTGTGGATCCTCTATATCCACCAACTCATGTTAATCGTCGGACATTCACTTTTCATCCTGTAGATTTCGTAAACAACACCCGTAGTACGAGAAGGCAGTGAGTAGAACTTTCCTGGCAGTGGTTGTTTGAGAGTATTCGCAGAAAGAGAGTTGACTATCTACACTCTCGACTACAGTAGTGCATTTAAGGGATACAAAATATTATAAAATAGCTGTATTATATTTCAACAAGTTGATGTAAATCAGTAGATAAGTTATATAAACCTTTCTACAAAACTACATAAATAATTATGTTAATTGTTTTGTTATATCATATTTTAATATAAACTTTATATTTGTTTCTAGTAGACTTAAACAATCAATTTTGAATTTTGTAAGTTGATCTTCAAATTGATTGTTCACTGAAACAAAACTTTAATTCATTAGTTTTTTTTCATAACCTCATATTGTACATCATACTTAATGTTTCTACGTATATATTTAATAAAATGTAGTATTATTATGTTTATAAACAATGATGGGTAGCGGCTAGCAGTGGAATCTAGAACGCGCGTTTCGTCCTATTTGGGACTCGAACCCAGTACCATTCGCTTCAAACGCCATCGCGTTATCCACTCAGCTGAGATGCAGGTACATCCAGTTGACGAGTCCCAAATAGGACGAAACGCACGTCCTGGATTCCACTGCTAGCCACTATTCATCATTGCTTACAAAAAGTTTGTGAATTAAGGCAATATCGAGGCATACGCACAGTGTGCACATATGGCGATAACAGAATGATCAATTGCAGTCTTAAACCACAATGGGAAGATACAAGCCAAACAATACCAAGTGAATTTACTATATTTATGTTGAAAAGTATTGATGGTAGTGTACTGAACGAGAACTCTGGTGGAAAAATCATACATCAAATACATTACTTGCACATCTTTGAGTAGTTTCTTACAAACTTGATTGTCCCTTCATTCCTATTGTTATCTTGATTGTTTTCAGTTTCCTTCTCTCTTCTCTTCATTTATATCTTTTCAAAATTCTGCTTGCAGACATTCCACTTCTGACCGGTGCTACATACTACTTATATCTGCGAACATAAGTAGCACAAGTTACTTGGGTAACACAAAACAGACGGTTGATACTAGGTATAGCTGAACAATGTGTTAATCAAGTTTTAAATCTTCATTGATGAAGGTAATCGAGATATGTGTTACGTATCCCAACTACTGCATACCTCGCTGATAGAGGAAAGCAGGGTGAACGAATGTTAAGAGCACTCGAACCAAAATCTAATGATAATCTACAAAGTTATTAATTAATTATCATATTCATGCTGATTTACACGAATAACGTGAAAAGCAATTGAAAACATTAAATGACATGACTCAGAAGCTGTCATAGTAGCACAGATATATTCACTTTTTATCTTTCCATAGATCAGAAATTTTAAAGTTAATTTATGTTTTATTTCGTAATATACCAATCTGATTGTTTAAATCAACATTGATGAAGTGGCTTCTCGCTTCACTGACTCTATGATTATCGAATTTCGCTAATTCGAATCACAGATATTTTTGTAAATGGACACATGAAATTCAGATATTCACACTACGTCAGGTTCTAGAACACAGACATACGTTCAGACGCCCCACAATGGTAGTATTTCTTGACCTTAAGGCGGCATTTGACACTGTTGATCGTAAGGTTCTATGTCAGTGTTTGTCACTGAAAGGAGTACCAAAGAAGTACATTAACCTTATACAGGCTCTCTACTCGAACACAACTGGCTGAGTGAGAGCTTATGGTGAACTGTCATCAGAATTGATTACCTCAAGTGGTGTTCGTCAGGGCTGTCCACTCTCTCCATTCTTGTTCAACTTTGTCATTGACGTACTTTTAGAGATAACACTCTCCTCATCTAAATTTCCAGGGGTTGAACTTCTACCAGGAGGTTCACTTGTTGACTTAGAATATGCTGATGACATAGTTTTATTTGGTGAAGACGCTGACAAAATGTAGAGTCTTCTGACCACTCTAAGCAACAATGCAAGCATATTCGGGATGCGATTCTCCTCCTCGAAATGCAAAATGTTGCTTCAGGATTGGGTTACATCGACACCCGAACTAATGATAGGGAGTGAAGTAATTGAGTGTGTCGACCGCTTCATTTATCTTGTGAGTCTGGTCAGCCCTTGTTTTCTAATGTGTGACGAAATCTCAGCACGGATACAGAAGACTCGATTAGTTTTTGCCAACTTGCGTCATTTATAGCGTAGACGAGATATCCGTCTATCAAGCAAATGACGTGTTTACTATGCAACAGTTCGTTCTGTCCTACTTTATGGGAGCGGAACATGGGTGGTAGGCGTAGAGGATATTCGTAGGTTGCTAGTATTTGATCATAGGTGTCTTCGAAGCATTGCTTTATATCCTGCATTCACTTTGTGTTCCCCCGAACTCTAATCTTCTGAATTCTAAATGTCCCTTTTCTTCTATTTGGATATTTATTTCATTGGATTATACTCTTTGAATATTATTTTCAAACACTAATCTCTCTGATGACTGTCTATGCTCTTACAACCTCTACCACTATCGGATTTGAATCGACAATTGTATCTCTGTGCTAATGTGGTATGGCAACTCGAACTGATGTACGTACGTACGCAGTTCTATGTCGTTGCTGACTGACTGATGTGATCTTTTAAATTTTTTTTGGAACAGAATTTGTTGGATATGTTAGATCCTCAAAACTCACTTGATGTATATATTATTTTTGTAATTTTATTTTGGAATTTCTTGTTTTCGTGCCAATAGCGACTATTTTCACTTTCATATTATATTTCCCAGTGAGGAGGACCTAAAATATCATTAGTTCGTTGTTGCTAGTAATATGCTATTTTCTAACGTTCCCCAAGTACATTTTTATGCTATATATATATATATATATATATATATATGCGTTCGTTGTGCTTGTGGAATACATTCCCCTCTTCAGAACTTGGACTTCTCTTTCTTATTAGCGGCGATGGAACGCATGGAAGTAGTTAAGTTATTTGGTCATTGTGTCACTAAGTCTTCGTGCGATTCACAGATTTAGGTGACCTCGTATTCTCTTCAAATATAACAGAATTTCTCACTATATTTTGTAACTACCTCATTTATAGACTAATTACTACTTATTATAAAGTATATAATACGGAAGTGAACATTTTAATATTTCACTTATTGTTTAATCATCTTTTCTTATGTAATCGATGCATTTAACATTAATCCTAATGTTTTCGTCGCTGAAGCTTTATTTAGTAGTATATACACATCATGAATATTTGATTGCACTGAAACCATGTTGTCATATCTTCTTTTGTTGTCAATTGAATTTTATGTGTGAAATAATTAAAGGTTTATTAAACTTTTTAATTTTACTAAAATTTAAACAAACTATTACATTTTGAAGTTAGTTTTTATCATGGACTGATATTGACTAGGTAATCATTTACAATAAAAGAGTTGAAATCCTATAAGGAAGATCAATTAGTTTGTTTCCCTTAAGATCTTAGGTATGCTGTTAAAGGTGTGAGATCGGTTGTCACTTCCTGGTTGCCCATACGATGGAAAGGTTCTTTTGGAGGTCCCTGAAAAGGAAATTGGATTAAAAGTTGTTTTAGTGACCTGAGAGCGTGACCGCAGTGCCCAAGGGACAACTGCTCAAGGTTTGTCATACACGGCCTTTTTGGGGGTAATTTTCATGTTGGCTCTGTACTTGTTGAGACCTTACCTCCGGCGACGGATATACGTGGGTCGACCTTTTCTTACCCTACTCCTCATTGTAGGAAGGCAGCATCGCTGTTATGTTGGCTGTCTGAAGGAAAAACCCTTATGCCGTCACACCTCTGTACATTCAGCAGTACGACTTCGCCCTTAGACCTTGGGTTTACTGCTTTCAGTCTTACCGCTCTTCAAATGACCTTGAGGAACGATTGTTCTCGCCAGTATAGCTCGATTGGCCAACCACTACGTCGATGTAGCAACGACGTTTGGATATGCTTTACTGATGAATACCATTTAGCACTAAATCTCTGTTCAGAGTTTTCTTCTGACTACCTTTAGTGATATCATATCACCAAAGATTATCGGATGTTGAAGTCTAAGAACTACACACTTTTATGAAATTTGGATTATGAGATCTGGAGAAAAGCATGATATATCATGGTTGACTTTTTTAACTTTAGCTAATGTATTCGTATAACAGCAGTGTGTATATAAAATCATGAGAGAGCTTTCATTCCTTCACATCATCTCTAAGTGGTTCACACTTAAATAAAGTAATAAGTAATGCTGATTCAAATTGTTCTCAAAGCATCAGTTTACTCAATATTATAGCTATGCTTTGGTGATATATACTAACCAAGTAGCTTTAAACCTATTATTTTCAAACCGTTTAATAACAGTCAATGCTTGTCCCCACGTTTAGTCGCTTGGTCTCATATTTACAAGAGCCTGGTTACTTTTAATTTACCGAGTCATTTTAAATATACTTTACAACTACATTTTCTTCATTACACTTACATTTTGTTCTTTTATCATTTTGAATTATTTAAAAGCGTGTTTTTTTAATCATTTCAGACTCGAATAAATTCTTCAAATCTCAATAATTCAATCATGTTAAATTTTGATCCGTTAATGAATGTCTCAGAAAGTAAGTCAATGTGGACTTAGTTTATCGCTTTACTTGAGTACATTTTTTTAACAAGAAATGATGTTAGAGTGTTTTCATTCTGTTGCACTGTTACGCTTATGTTCTATTCCGGCTTGCCTGTTGTAATGTTAAATCGAGCTACATTGGGTTAAACACATTACAGCTCGATTTAAGAACAATGAGACTAAAAGCAGCAAACTAAGACCCGTCTGTGCTGGGGTATGATGGCAGCATATTGTTTCCTTCAGGCAATCAACATGTGCAATGATGTTGCGTTTTTAGAACATAGGGAAGAAGGTTGAAAAATCCTGGTCCTAAATATAGATCATTTTATCTTACCTCACACATTTTCACCGTCAATCGTAAGACCTTTTGAAGTAAAACGATAGCACATCAGGATCTACATGCTAAAAGCATTTATGTAACTGGCCTCCAAGAAAGGTTACTCAGTAAAAATAAATTTAATAAGGTAAACTTTATTTCGATATTTTCTCAATCGGAAAATATGTGACATAGCATTCATGCGAGACTATTATTTGTGGATGAGCCAATTAGATTTAAGATATCAAGGCTTGGATTTTTGAACAAAACTCATTCACATGGCTAAATAGTATTTTAGTATTATAGCTGATGCCAGTTTATGACGAAGACTCTATCTCTAATTCTAACCCTGACTTCCAACTCACACTAATTTATAACTTTCTTTAGTCCCTAGTAGGTTGATGAGTTTTCTCAAGGTCACTCTCAAAGGGTTGTCCATAAATTATAATGTCGCCTAATTTCTAGATGTTGTTCTAAGCTCAGTCAGCAATAAATGCTTGTATACGATCAAGATAAGTTTGTAAAATATATAGTTTCTTAACACAGTCTGGTATTCAATAATGAGCGGATACACAAATACATGTTTACTCATCAACTATACGAAGTCAAGTAATTGTTCCAAAACAACAAAGTAATATTTTTTCAGAATCATTTCAGAAAGCGGTTATAAAATGTAATTAAAAAAACAAGAGAAATACAAGTGAACATGAGAAAACCTTTACAACTAAATTATAACTGATTCCAATTGTATAAGCCAGTGTGTACTTGGACTCAATAGCTATCTTGGTGATGCTTTGGTATTTGAACCGAAGTGCAATAGGTTCTAGTTCCAAAGAGAACAACAACACTGTAATGCAAGTATATCCTGTCTACACATCCAAAGTATTATGAAACGCCTCTTCTGGATTCGGTCTTTAGCTCCTATCCACCTCTGCTTAAAAAGCCTTATGACCAATGATATTATCGCGTCAGTTCCCATAGGATGCTTATATGCCAGAATAGACTGATCAATTGCAGTGCTTTACATTAACAATGGAAAGATTCAAGCCTTTAAAATTGAATAAAAATGAATACTACTGAATAAAGTAAATTGTACAAGTTTACAACAAGAAGAAATAATAAATGGCTAGCATGTTTACATCACCTTGTACAACTAAATAAAAGATACCACTATATGGCGAGTGGTTTAGGCAACATATTAGCAATTAATGTAATAAAACATTGATATAAAGTTGTACTTATTGTTTATCACCATAGTCACCAATAATATCTATGTTGTATGTCTCTCTCGGTTTTAATCAATTCTATTCTTCCATCTTTATTTATAATGTATAGATTATGCTTCCCCACAGCTTTGTAAATCAATCGATCAACTTTCTGAACAGCTAATGTAAGTTTTATTCAGAACTTTAAACTACGACTTATATATATGCAAATCCATCTACTGAGCTTTTAGCCACATTCATATATGGACAACAATTTCGATTGTCTGGCTGTCGTACTAGGTGATACAGGATCTAAAATCTCGATTTATTAACTGAAAAAAATAGTGTAACTTCTAAAACACTAAATTCCGTAATTATCCTTCTCCATTACTAGAACCGAATCTTTTGAATATTCGTGTGATTTTCTTTTGAGTTGTTACTAGTATTCGTTTTAACAATTCGTTTAATATTCATTATTCTCTTACTCGCTTTCATAATAATGGTGTAGAAAATCGTATTTTGAGTTATTATGTTTTGTGAATGATTACTTCTGGAATTGTGATTAATATGTTAAAATTTGGTCCTGTGAAGTCATCATATGATGTAACTCTTCCATGAAGCACAAAATTGTCTCCTCAGCTCCGGGGGGGGGAAAGGTTATATGCAGTTAGGGAATTTCTAATACTGTCCCTCAACTGCCTAGAACTAAGTAGTTGAGATTTACAGTTGGAATCTGTGAGTCCGTCATCTGAAAGTGAAGTACTGTAACCTCTAAACTATTGTTATGTATCAATTAACACTTGAGTTTAAGTCCGCCACGTTTTTCATAATAATAACATTTTAATGTTAATGTGATTTTCACTACGTGTTCAGATGAATTTTATTTTGTCAGCTGAATTTCCTTTCCCATTTCTTAGCACGACAACTCCTGAATCGTCTAATAATAATAGTACAATCAACGCATCATATTATAATCGTACAGGTCATTTAATAAGTCCTATTGGTAATGAAGAATTGATTAACATTGCTACAGCGTCACCTTCAGTGATAACAACAACAACAACGTCATCGTCAATACCGACAACTGAATCAACCGTGGCATCTCTCTCACCTTATGTTAATATTGATAAGTTTAATTCACCTTGTGATGATGTAATTCAGTGTATTACAACTACAGTTCCTGTTAAAACAAATTGTTCTACAGTTGTTGAATTACCCAGTTCATCTTCTTCTATAATTACGAACAAATCTTCTACAACTGGCGTAGCTATCACAGCAATTGCAAACACTACCACTTTCTATTCACCATGGAGACATCGTAGTGTCCTAAATCAAGCTTTAGGTGGAGGGGTTGGTGATGATGATGATGGAGGAGGAGGAAACAGTTCACCGGAATGGTCATCTTTTTCAATACCCAATGACAATAAATTGCACGAAATGAGTATAATACAACAAGGTCAACCGAATACAATCATGATAACAGTGATAATAATTTGTGCGAGGATTTTTCTAATCATAATAATAAGGAAGAATATGAATCTACTACAAGAAAGATTAAAGAGAATTCTATTCATAAAACAACAAACCATTCAGAGCTAGATCTTCTTGTCAATATGTTAGATCGTGTTGAAATGAAAGATGATACGATGCAAGAAAATGATAAATCAACAATTGTAACACAAATTATTCGAGATTGTAATTTGGCTATGAATGAATGTAAGTTTGATTTTGAATTTATCTTGAATCATACATTTGTGTTCGTTATGTGTCTTCCAGGTTTTCCATGATGGTCTAGTTTCAATTCACTCATGATCTCAATTGTTGAAATTACTACAATCTCCACAAAACCCCTTATAATACATAACTCCTAGATTTAAATTATTATAGTTTTATCACTTAGTAACATCATTTTAATAAGTATTGGAGAGTTGAAAGCACTGAACAGATATTTTGTCATGATACTTGACAACATAGAGGTGAACATTAGTTTTTATTTATTTATTTAAACACATAAACATTGGTACAAGAAGGTACCAAATAGATATGCGCCACATAAATCATTCGATTGCTGTGAGGGCTGTAATACTGCCCGGTTGCCTAAACCGAAGTAGGTGGCCATACCCCAAGCCTTTGACCTAAAGGTCTGATCCACAAGGTAAGACGTAGGAAGGACTCTGCAAGGAAACTTCTTAGGGTCCTACTTAATGATAGTCAAGCTAAGAGTATATTTCAGGAACAACTAGAAAAACAGTTAGGCAGCCATGTATGTGATGCCCACCCCGAGGCAGCATGGAATGATATCCGAAAAGCTGTGGAAACAGCAGTGATATCTGCTAGTAAGGTAAACCAGAAGGTTAGGGAGCAACACTGGATCTCAGCAGCATCTATCGCACTGATAGATGCTCGGAAACTCATTCCACCTGGCTCTGAACATAATGAAGAGCGGAGTCAGCTTAAGCGCAAGCTGACAAGAAGTCTACGCAATGATCGCGAACAGTGGTGGGTAGCGAAAGCAAGAGAGATGGAAAAGGCAGCGGCAATAGGTAATAGCAGACAATTGTTCAGACTCGTTAAGGAAACCGGAATTAGGAACCCGACCGTTAGCGAAACAATCTCAGAGAAAGATGGACATATTATTCATTCTCAATCCAGGAGATTGGATCGATGGGCAGAACACTTTAGGGATCAGTTCAACTGGCCTTCAGCCACACTTCGGTTTCCCACGATCTCTAGTCAACCTGAATGGCAAGTTAATGTAGGTCCTCCGTCCCTTTACGAAGTTGAAAAAGCCATAGGAAATCTGAAACGAGGGAGAGCAGCAGGCCCTGACAGGTTTACTCCTGAGATTTTTAAGGATGGTGGTCCAGTATTAGCAATGAGATTAACTGAGGTCTTAGGTAGAATTTGGGAACTGGACGTAATCCCATCTGACTGGTCTCAATCACTGATTGTGCCAGTTTATAAGAAAGGACAAAAGTCCTCTTGTGACAATCACAGAGGAATCAGTTTGACTAATATAGTGTCTAAAATATTAGCTTCAATAATACTTCGACGCCTAACAAAGCTCGTGAAGAGCAGACTAGAGAAAACCAGGCTGGTTTTCGACCTGGACGTGGTTGTATAGATCAGATATTCACACTACGTCAGGTTCTAGAACACAGACACACATTCAGACGCCCCACAATGGTAGTATTTCTCGACCTTAAGGCGGCATTCGACTCTGTTGATCGTGAGGTTCTATGGCAGTGTTTGTCACTGAAAGGAGTACCAAAGAAGTACATTAACCTTATAAAGGCTCTCTACTCGAACACAACTGGTTGAGTGAGAGCTTATGGCGAACTGTCATCAGAATTGATTACCTCAAGTGGTGTTCGTCAGGGCTGTCCACTCTCCCCATTCTTGTTCAACTTTGTCGACGTACTTTTAGAGATAACACTCTCCTCATCTAAATTTCCAGGGGTTGAACTTCTACCAGGAGGTTCACTTGTTGACTTAGAATATGCTGATGACATAGTTTTATTTGGTGAAGACGCTGACAAAATGCAGAGTCTTCTGACCACTCTAAGCAACAATGCAAGCATGTTCGGGATGCGATTCTCCTCCTCGAAATGCAAAATGTTGCTTCAGGATTGGGTTACATCGACACCCGAACTAGTGATAGGGAGTGAAGTAGTTGAGTGTGTCGACCGCTTCACTTATCTTGGAAGTCTCATCAGCCCTTGTTTTTTAGTGTGTGACGAAATCTCAGCACGGATACAGAAGGCTCGACTAGCTTTTGCCAACTTGCGTCATTTATGGCGTAGGCGAGATATCCGTCTATCAACCAAAGGACGTGTTTACTGCGCAGCAGTTCGTTCCGTCCTACTTTATGGCAGTGAAACATGGCCGGTAAGAGTAGAGGATATTCGTAGGTTACTAGTATTTGATCATAGGTGTCTTCGAAACATTGCTCGTATATCATGGGACCATCGAGTAAGTAACACAGTTGTTAGGAAACGGGTACTAGGTAAGGATGGCAATGAGTAGTGAAACTTCATCAGTTGAGATGGCTGGGACACGTGTTACGTATGCCCAACGACCGACTGCCTCGACGTGCTATGTTCAGTGGTATAGGAGTAGGTTGGAAGAAAGCTAGGGGCGGCCAAACCAAAACATGGCACAAGTCCATGAAGTCACTGACAAGTGGACTGAGTCATGTTGGTAGGTGTAGACTACCTGGTTGGGGACCGCGAGATGATAGCAACCGATGGTTAGAGACCCTGAATGACATGGCTCAAAATCGTTTGCAATGGCGCAGGTGCATCCACTCTTTGTGTTCTCCCAAATTCTAATCTTCTGAATTCCTCATGTCCTTTTCTTTTTTTCCAAATTTATTTCACTGGATTATACTCTTTAAATAACATCTCCAAACCTAATCTTCCCGATTACTGCTTATACTCTTATTACCTCTACCACTACGGGATTTGAATCGACAACTGCATCTCTGCGCTAATGTGGTATGTTAACTTGATCTGATGTACGTACGTACGAAGATCTACGTTGTTACTGACTGACTGGCTGTATATGAGAATTCTGGTTGCTTAATAACCCTCATTTAGTCCTAGTTAGTAGGTGTCGATTCTCGAGGTCACTTCCGTGTCGCTCAATGTTCGTCTGTAAATAATAGTCTTAGCGACTCTTCGTTTCCACCAACACGGTTAAAGCGCCGGACATTCGCTTTCCGTTCTCTCAATTTCGTAAACAATACCTTCGCCGCGAGAAGGCAGTGGGTAGGACGTCACTGATAGTGGTTGTAAGTAAACATTTACGACCTTTTCATTTACGAAACTCATCATCTCATGATTTTCAGAAAGCCTCGAATGTTTATTATACAACCTGATTGTTATGCTATAAACCTCATAACTTCATTTATTTTCTCAATATAAACAGTTTAATATCAGAAGGGCTTTTGTGTATATTATAGTAATTTTAATAGTTGAGATCATGTGTCAATTGAAGCTAGAACACTGTGAAAAACGTGGAAGCGCTAGGTCTGTTATGAGATAGTAACTCACTGAAGACGATGGTGGATATGTCGCTCAATTTCGTGGATTAGTTGTAGTTAGATATTAACACCGTTGGATGCCGGCCAGCTCAGTGGTTCAGCGCTCGCGCGCGAAAGTGAGAGGTCTTGGGTTCGAATCTCGTGAGGCGGGATCATGGATTTGCCCTACTGCAGAGTTCCACAATAGGACGAGACGGCCGTCCATTGTTTCCACGTTTTTCAAGGTGGTCTAGTTTCATTTGACTCATGATCTCAACTACTGAAATAATGAGTTTAGGTCATAATTATCTTCACTTAATTACAGCAATAAGTTGTTTATTCTTTATTATTATTATTATTATTATTACAAATAAACTGTACATCTACCATATGGTTTATATTTGTTTGACTTAATTAAATAAAATGTCGTTCTAACATTTTTCTATGTAGCTTATCTTCAACAAAACATCATTGTTTACAATAAATAGCTGTATATGTTTGTTGTTGTTGTTGTTGTTCAATTAGAAGAAATGAATTTTCTTTAGAAGAGTTATGTTTCTGGTTGTAAAACAAAAAATTATCGGGTCATATAGACGGTCGTTAAAAACAAAAAAGAATAAAAAACTTTCTATAATTATGTATCTATGGAATTTCTATTAAACATATTCATTTTATAAAATATCAAGATCTTTTTTTTTTTTGAAAGAACAAAACCAAAATGCATATTGATAATGGTATGATTTATTGTAAAGTAATAAGTCAGTCAGTCAGTCAGCTAGAACGTAGACCAGGCACATATGTGCATCGGTCCAAGTTGCCATACCTCATTAACACAACAAGATGAACACCGGACTCATAAAAGTAATTAGTTCAGAGGTGGTAATATATAGAAGAAAGATAGGCAAGCCCTACCACCACGTCAAGGTAGCAACAACTGTCGGGATAAAGTAATAAGTCTATCTACCTGATTTATTAAATTACTATTTTCTACATGTAATTACATCCCTATGATGATAAAGTGCTTGCTTACTTGCGCCTGTTACTCCTAGCATTCTCCAACCCATTCTGTTCTGGACCTTACTTTACAGTTCTATCCAGTTTTTGTTCATCTTTCTCATGACTATCTCCATTTCCCGGCGTAATATGCTCTTTGGTCTTCCTCTTTTCCTTTGGCCTTGAGGATTTCATGTGAAGGCTTGTCTTGTGACGCAGTTAGATGCTTCCCTCAATGTGTGTCCTATCCACTTCCAGCACTTCTTCCTGATTTCTTCCCCGCTAGAATCTGGTTTGTTCTCTCCCAGAAAATGAAAACATTCAAAAGAAATGCAAGTGATTTATTTTTTTAAAGAACTCTCGATTTGTAGAGGTAGTACACTAAAACCTAAGCAGGAACTATTGTTCTCTTCTACAGTACATTGTCGCTGATAGTGTCTCGCCAACAGGTCCGAAGTATTTTGCATAGACAACTGTTAATAAACACTTGTATCTTCTGGCTGATAGCTTCACATCTGCATCAGATCCACTGTGTTCATCAATGATGCTTTCCAGATATGTAAAGGTTTATACATCTTCCAAAGCTTCTCTGTCAAGTGTGATTCGATTGTTGTATGCTGTGTTGTTTCGGAGAATCTTTCATTTCCCTTTATGTCTGCCGAGACCTACTACTGATCATCTTCTCTTGCATTTGTTGTTGAATGTGCGATAAAAGTCTAGATCGTTCAGTTGTATCCTAGCTGTCCACTGTATCCCATGCTCCCTCCAAGATGTTGACGTCTACATAATCCAGTCGATCTCCAGGAGATAGAGGAAGCTTGAGAGTAAGCAGCGTTGCCTGACACCGGTCTTTTCTTCGAAGGAATCTGTGAGCTGTCCTCCATACACGATTTGTAGTTTAATTCATCATAGGAATTCGTATGATATTTTTATATTTCTAGAATATAACTTTTAATGTTTCATACAGTCAGTTATGAGTTTCATTTTAACAGAATCTCAAATCAATATACATACTACTATTTAGTAATATTTGTCAATTATTCATTTTTTAAATTTATTTCAGATAAAACTCCAGAAATTCAATCTTCTAAATCTGTTACTCCATCTTTAACATTTAATATAAGAAAATCTGAAAATCTATTAAACAATAAGAAATTAATTGATACACCAAAAACATCAAATTTGACATCAACACCATTTCTTTTTAATAATCAATATGTATACCGGAAGAATTTCAACAAATGAATGTCTTAGATGTTCTTCCATGCAATACACCTGATCAATGTATTGTCAATCATAATACAGATATGAATACTACACCATATACTAAAGACACTGGTGGTATATCTGGATTTTTATCAAAAGCTGCAAGATCTGTTTATTCACGTCTTATATCATCTGGTTCATCACAGTTAGCATTGAAAGATACTTCATTAGTAAATAAACCACAGAGTATTATTAATTCATCATTCATTGACTCATGTTCTGTAGGTAATAAAGTTGAATCAATTAAAAAGGATTTCAGCATTGAACAAGAGAAACATCAACAACAATCTTGCTTAAATGTAACATCATCATTTGTTCAGTCTGAACAAATCTCTCAACAATTATTAGATGATGAAGAGGCATGGAAAACGGTCAGTTCCGTACATGATCTGAATGGTTCAATGGAGGTATCTAGTAAAATGGAGATAACTGGTAGCTGTACTGATGGTGATGGTGCAATGTTGTTAGGAAATAAAGAAAATGCAGAATCTTTACAGGTCTATAAGGTAGTTCACCTACTGAATTGTTTTTTGGTGAGACTATAATTTATGGACGACCTTTGAGGAGCGCTAAAATGACCTTAAGAGTGTTTAACTACTTACTGGGGCCAAATGAGGGTTATAAAGCAGTTTAAAGAATAAGGATTATGATTTACGGTTGATGTTTAGGGTTAAGAATTCGATTTAGGGTTTTCATCACGAACTGACAGCTATAATGACAAGTCTCTATTTAGGCAAATGGGTGAATGAACTTCGCGCCAAAATCTAAAACCTGTTATCGTAAATCTGATTGGTTCGTCCATCCTAAATTATAGTCTCGCCGTTTTTTAAATTTCTAAGAGCATTTTAATGGAACAATTGTGTGTAACAATAATAATAATAATCGTATTAATCAGTACTGCATATTTGATCAAAATTATAAGTGGTATAAGCTACCTTATCATCAATCACAATGAGGTTTTAGATCAGTTCTGATTTTACAAATGTTTCTTGTTGCATTAAATGTGAGTTAGATTGAGGTATTGGAGAAAATTCCCAACCAAATATACCATCTTAATGGAATGGTAACAAAAAAGTACCCTACGTGATCGGCTTCAAACAGTTATCACTACAGTTCTATAGTTATGTACTTAAGTCTTGAAGATCATTCTTAACTTAGTTTCCCTTTCAGGTTACTTTAAATGAAATATTTCCTCGTTGTATGGACAGTCGAAAAGTAGCAACTACCTCCATACGTTTATCAGAAATTAGGACGAATAGTATAAAAATCATCTATATAACACATTACATTATAATGGAAATTAGTTTCCTGTCAAACAATAAATAATGTGGAACATATACATATTACACATTTTCATTTAGCTCCACGTCATCAAATCACCATAGATGCGTTAAGTGTGTGTGTGTGTGTGTGTGTGTGTGGTCACATACAATATTAATGTATGCATAATTCTTTAATTCAAATGAACGCATCATGAAAAAAATACTGCAATGTTTACACAGTTAAGAAGAACAGATAAATGTAATGATGATTTCTGCAAGCCAACATTATTGATCCATTTGATGCTTGTTTTTGAAATTCTGGTGAAAGGGGAATTTTCGTACAAACTTATGTTCTAATTCTGTTTGATTTACATAACGGCAACAGGACCTGCTAGTGTTTTTTTTAGCAAGGTTGTTTCCTTTTTAGGGGATGAGATTGTTGATCCAATGTCCAACTCTTCTTCTTTACTCGGGATTGGGACCAGCAGTAACTCTCGGAGAGCTTCGGGTGGAGAAGCTCTAGAAGAGGTAGAAACTTCCACTTACCTAGGCAGCATTATCGATAAACAAGGAGGATTCATGCAGACTTAAATGCAAGGATTGGCAAAACAAATGCGACATTCCTAATGTTAAAGAACATATGGAACTCGAAACAACTGTCGGCCAGCATCAAAGTTAGAATCTTCAATACGGATATGAAGACAGTTCTACTGTAAAGAGCTGAAACTTCGAGAACTACCACAGCGATAATCTGAATTACATATATCTATTAATCAGTTGTCTACTCAACATACTTGATGTCCGTTGGCCGGATATCATCAGTAATAGCCCATGGTGGAAGAGAAAAAACAGCCTCCAGATGAAGAGGAAATTAGAAAATGATGTTGGAAGTGGATAGGACATACATTGTGGAAATCATCAAACTGAATCACAAAACAATCGTTAACTTGAATCCTGTAAGGAAACGGAATAAAGGAAGACCAAGGAAAACATTGCGTTGGAAATTAGAGGCAGACATCAAAAGAATGAATAGCATTTGGAAACAATTGGAAAGGATTGTTCAGGGCAGAGTTGGATGGAGAATGTTGTTAGGCAGCCTATGCTCTTCCACGAGTGATAACAGGCGTAAGTAAGTAGGTGAACCTGTTAAAATGATGTGGGATTTTTGTAACTCAGAATAAGGATTTTGAGGGTCGTGAGCACCTACGTTTAATAGCCCACTTATTTCTGAAGTATGTGCTCCTAATGTTTTCCACAAAGAGTGCAAACTTCGGGAATAGGCCATGCTCCAGCTTAGAGAAGAACACACTCCTGCTTGATTATTATATCTTTCCTCTTTCTATATTTTCAGTGAATTGATATTTGAAATGTCAAAAAAATTTTTTCTTATGAATAGTTTGATGGACAAGGCAATGACTGTTTCTCTCTAATCCTTCGATTGCATTACATGAATTTTCGTGTCATAACATGAATCGTCAACTGAATCTAGGAGTATCATCCATTTAGGATTATCACACTCTCTCTCTCAACTGACGATATTCAGAAGTCCCAATTGTCAAGCTGCCGAGGATGTTGTTTAGATATATACAGAGAGTTAGAAAGTACTAAACAATAAGATTGAGTAACTGCATCAATGGTCTTGGTTTTTTTTATAATTCTTTTGTCATAACAAAAGCCCTTCATAATAAATCATTCATCTTGAATTTAATGTGATATACATCAATATATCCCTGTTATTTTTTATGTACAGCAAATTAATTGTAAAACCTAGAAAAAATATGATTTTTAGTATGCTGTATTTCTGTCTAACATGATTATAGTGCATAACGAGCTTCATATGTTAAACCCCAAATGCCCTTGTACGGCCGAGAGTAAGGAGAGTCAACTCTCCCTCTCGAAATGCTCTCATATGGCCACGCGTGTACAACCACTACCAGGGAATTTATACCCATTGCCTTGTCGCAGCGAAGGTATTGTTTACGAAATTAAGAGGACGAAAAGCGAATGTCCGGCGCTTTTACCGGGTTGGTGGACACGGAGAGTTGCTGAGACTATAATTTACAGACGACCTTTGAGTGACACGGAAGTGACCTTGAGAATGGATACCTACTGACTAGGACTAAATGAGGTTTATAAAGCAGTCAGTTTATGGTTACGGTTAAAATTAGATTTAGGGTTTTCATCACGAGCTGACATCAACTATAATGCCAAAATACTATTTGGCCAAATGAATGAATTGATTTCGCTGCAAAATTCAAGACCTGTTGTCGTAAATCTGATTGGTTCATCCATCCTAAATAGAGTCCACTTAGGGGAGTTGGAAAACTTTGATTCCAAACCACTGGTGCATATGGATTCCAGGATCCTGAGGGAACAAATTATTACTCACTGGCTACCATGAGACTGCATCTCATGACGTTGTTCCATTGCATTGTAGATTATACCATTAGGCAGAAGGCTCCGGTTGTGGCCCTCTAAGAAACCACCTACTTCTGTTTGAGTACTCGTGCAGTATCACAGCCTACGCACAAATCAAGTGACTTGTGTGGTGCATATGTATTCGGTGCCTCCTTGTACCAATGTTTATATGTTCAAATAAATAAAACTTCAAATGATTATGCCTTTCACTAACTACTCAATGTTGTACAGTTGATAAATGTATAAATATTATTCTATAATACGGCATGCAAACAAATAAACCGTTTTAATTGAATTAATCTATCCCAGATGTCATAAACTTAACGAAGGTAATGACTGAAATAATAAGCTAATTAATTTACTTATGATGACTTGATTATTATGAATGACCAAGTTTTCTGTAGGGTCATAGTCTTCCTTTTTGTGTAGACTAATCTAAAGAAATATTATTAACACATCAACTTCAGTAGCGATATCATTTTAAATAATGGATATCAGTGAAAATTCAGTATTTATTTCGTCCTGTTCAGGATTCGTTAGCGAAATGTAGTGTACTTACATATGGTTGTTGATGTTACAATAAGACTCAAATTCAAGATTCAGTACGTTTAGAATTGGATAGTGTTTAACATTGTTCTAACTGAATAACTTTTCCAAACTTCAGAAAAAGTCAACTCATCTAACCATTATATTTATGTGGATGTTGATGTAACAGAGGGAATGTTCTTTTCATCATCATAAACTAGTACATCAGTTTGTGAACTATTATGTATTAAAAAGCGTTTAACATGTTTCATATCTATGTACATAGCTTAATGTGGATCACAGTGGTGCAGTTCCATTTACTCTGTATTTCTCTTCATATCTTTTCAAAGCATATTCTTATTGTTTAGTCTCTCTCATTATAATTCTAACTACTATTTCTTTGATCCTTTCACTATGCACCTTTACAATTGTCATCTCTTCATTCGAATATGATATTGTGACGTTTATTCTGACTGATATAATTATATATACAACTCGTTAGTCAAATGCATTAAAAGATTATTGATTGAGATCTTGAACCGACTGATGTTTGACTACCATTAAAAACCTGGAAGCACTGGATGGTCGTTTCGTTTTATTGTGGGACTCCTCAGTAGTGTTCGTCTATGATCCCGCTCGCGGGATTTGAACTCAAGGTCTTCAGTCTCGCGTGTGAACGCTTAACTTACTAGACTACTAGGACGAAAGGACTGCCCAGTGCTCTCAGGTTTTCAATGGTTGTCTCACATCAATCAATAAATTAATAATCTCCACAATCCCCTATACTGGTATTATTATTATTATTGTTATTATTATTTTGAAAACATATATATTGGTACATGAGTGCGCCAAATATATATGCGCCACACAATTTCAGTTCATTAATTGCGTGTGGGCTGCGTTACTGCCCGAATGCCCAGACCGAAGCAGGTGGTTATCTTAGGGGGCCACACCCCGAGCCTTTGACCTAAAGGTCTAACCCACAAAACAGTGGAGCATCGTATGGAGATGCAGTCCCGTGGTAGCCGGTGACCGAAAATTGGTTCATACGCCATTTGTTCCCGCAGGATACTGGAGCCCATGTGCACCATAGATTTGGAATCCGGTTAAAGCGCCGGACATTCGCTTTTCGTCCTCATTTTCGTAAACAACACCCCGCCACGAGAAGGCAGTGAGTAGGACTTCCCTAGCAGCTGTATACGCGCGGCCATGTGAGAGTATTTCGAGAGGGAGGGAGGGCCCACCCCACTCTCGGCCATACCAGGGCATTTGGGGCAGAAACTGGTAAAAAACTATTATTTTTCTTAATAATTTGGTTTTGTCTTATCAATATTTCTTTAGATCATACATGAAGATATTGATGATGTGAGCATGAAAAGTGAAAATAATTCATCAACATCAAATATATCCCGATCACCATTAAAAGAACTACTTAATAATATAAAAGATGTGAATACATCTGATAACAATATTACTACAAATGTTTTGATAATAATCAATCATGTCATGAACATAATGGAACTACTAGTACTACTACCACTACTGTTCCTTCGGTCTCTTCTTCATCGCCTACAAAATCTAAATTATCCATTTCGATTAATAATAATGATAATAGTAGTGTAATTGAGAATCTTGAAAATATTGAAATAACGAAACAAAACTTACGTGATGAAATTATCAGTTAAAAAATGAAGCTGATTATGGAAGTAAGTTAATTTCATGCATTTGTTTTGTTTTTTTAAAATTTTTTTTTGCAAATTGAAAGTATGACTGTGGTGTGCTACTTATATTGACATAAGTAGTATATGATGTTAGTCGTGAACAGAATGTCTGGCAGCAGACAAGAGGATCGAACAGCAAAGAATGGAAGTAGGATGCAATTTGTATGAAAATGCAAGAACAATGAAATCCAAGTTATTATGAGACAATTGATGGACATTTTGCAAATTAAGCATTTACTTTATGATTGTTAGGTTTTGTTAACAAGTTCTGTAATTGTGTGTCAAATACATTCGATTGTCCCCACGGGTGTTCTTGTTCACTACATTACCAGCATCTAATGTTTGTATTATTACAATAATAATAATGAGGATATAAATGCTCGATTTGTTCTTTACCACATGTTTGATCTCCCACATTGTACGAGCATTCCATGTACCAAAATTAATAATTACTGATTGTCAGAAATGGCATTAGCCTCATGACTTTCGAAGGTACTCGGCTTTCACCATGAGACGTCATAACTCTTGTAAATGGAAGACCTTCTAACTCCTAGGGCAGAGTTTAAATGGTTTGAATAATTTTTTCTGGTTAGCGTTTTTTAGCGAGTTAGTTTTCTACGGGATGGGGTCGTTAACCATATGCCTAACCATACTCCTTTGCCCGGGCTTGTGACCTGCAGTAGCCTCAGAGGGGTTTCAAGTGGAGTTGATCTGGCTTTTCTATCGCACATGCAACAAAAAATGCAGGGGAAGACGAACAGTGTAACAGGTGCCTCAGCAGGAGTAGGTCTCAACATACACAAACGGAAAAGCAAGATTCTCTGATACACACACAGATTGTCCATAAAGCAACAGACTGTCCATTTGGATCGCTGTAATACATGTACTACCTAAACAATTACTGAACCAGTGTACTTAAAACTTTCTTCTATCACATGTTTGTTCTGTACATCTAATGTTACTATTTATATCAAATTGATCATGTCTGTAAACTGGCGTGAATTCTGTAATTATTATTATGCATCAATCGAATCACACTTGACGGAGATTTGGAAAATGTAAAAACCTTTACATATCTGGGCAGCATCATTGATGAACACGGTGGATCTGGTGCAGGTGTGAAGGTGCGGATCGCCAAAACAAAAGCAGCATATCTACAACTGAACAACATTTGGAACTCAAAACAACTACCTGCCAACCAACACCAAGGTCAGAATTTCCGATCCAAATATCAAGACAATTCTACTGTATAGGGCGGAAACTTGGAGAACTACGAAAGCCATCATCCAGAAGATACAAGTGTTTATTTACAGTTGTCTACGCAAAAAATACTTCGGATCCGTTAGCCAGACACTACCAGCAACAACCTACTGTAGGAGAGAACAATAGATCCTGCTTAGGTTTTAGTGTACTACCTTTACATATCGGACGTTCTTTAAAAAAATAAATCAATTGCATCTCTTCTGAATGTTTTCATTTCAATGGAAGTTAATTAAATTACTTTAACAAAAAGAGTAAATTGAAAGAAAACTCTGTTCGAATTTCCATGCCAATTACAAAATAGTTATTACCTGTGTTATTACACTTTCAGAATGAATATTTGCTAGATTGATTGACGGTTGTTGATCCGTTGTTGAAGTTCTCTATCATATGTTCGAATCCTATCCTAATCACAAATTCAGTTTAAACAATCCCTTCCCCTTCCAGTCAAACAATTTGGTGAAGCCTCGTAGATCATTCTTGAGAGAAACAGGCCACATCGAAGCACGGTACAATTACGAAGCTAGAATAGCTGTTTTTGCAACTAGTTGAAGTTTGCCTCGTGAGGAGCAACCCCGTACATTAAATGCACCTCTTTTTGGATTTTTTTGTCGTTTATCCATCCAAAAGTAATTGTGCTGTGTTTCCTTGTGGATTTCGTAATCGGTTGAGGATATCATTCGAGTGAGCGGTTAGCCCGTTCTCTACCACCCGGGTTATCGTCTCACTATCCAGGAGGCACGACGAGGACGTGTGAGTCGGATTTTGCCTCCCTTGAACAATTGACCGAGTATCATTACCATAAAATCATATGACATATATTAACACTTACAAAAATACAGGGTCCTTTCTATGTGACATCTTTAATCTCTACTGTAAGCTTAGATCATTTCATTTCGTTCTGAAACTTTGGCTTATCAAAAAAAACTGATTAGGCTTACAGTTATTTCATTCTAATACATTGACGATTTCCTTCGAAGTCAAATGATTGGCAACATTTAATATTTAATGTATATTATTTCAAAGCTTTATCGTCACTTTTACTTGTTATCGTTGAGTCATGTTAAAGTCAGTACAGATAATTATCATATTTTGGAATAATACAATAAAGTGAAGAAAGATTGTATTCAGTAAGTATACATTTTCAATGTAAGATGGTAGTTGGTAAGTAATATCTGACCTTAACAGCAAGGTTTACCTGTGTTCTTTAGGGAACTTAAACTCCCCGGCAGACCCTATGATGCGTTACGTAGCTTCACAGTCATAGACCTTACCCCACCTATTACCACATTACTATCACTACGAAAGCTACCTAAATACATGCGATTTCCGATTACTTCCAATGACTCATTTCGAAAAGTAAGTCTAGACACGGGCTCCTGTCGGTCTTGTAAGAGTACTTTGCATTTAGAAGTAGGTGTTATGTGCAATAATTACGACCAGTGATTGCCAGTTTATTAAGTGAAGATTGCAAGGCTTCAGTGTCACCGCACAATAAGACAATATCATCCGTATATTCAAGGTTGAATAGTCTTTTTCCAGGTAACAGATCCACATCAACAATACCTACCTCCATTGGATTTGTTTATAGTACATCATTGACGGTAGTAAAGAGCCATTATTAGTGGGGTCCAACTGTACCAAGTGTGAAGCAGTTATCCACCGAAGATAATCGAAAATGGTTGCGAAACATTTCGGATTGATTGAAGTTAGACATCAACGCCGTTGTAACCTGGCTCAATGGTCTAGAGGTCAATCGTTGTCGCGAAACTGAATGTTTTGGGTTTGGATTCCGCGTGCACAATTGTGGACACGCATTGCTGAAGAGTCCTATAGTAGGATGAAACGACCTAGTTTTCCATGATGGCCTAACACTGATCAATTCAAAGAGATTTTAGTGTTGATTTGTCACGAATAGGGTGAAATGCTTTTCCTCAATTCCATACCTTGGTACATTCTGTCTGTTTATTTCACATTGTTCTAATTCATGCTTACTATCGTTCAGTTTTCAGTAGCTGAATTGTATTATTATATTGGATTTTCAATCATTTAGCTGTTAGATAATATCGATAACGTTTAAAAACAAAGTCAAGTGCCTCAATCTGTATTTGATAAGTGCTTATTTACATGTGATAAATACTTCATCTTCAACAGAGATAACTGAATTCATCAGAATTTCTTCTGAAACACTGATTCTTTTTTCATATGTTTACAACTTATCAAAAACAGATCATTGTTAGTATATTTTATTGATTGATTCCTTCATTCAGATCGGTACTTAAAGATTATCAATTTACTCATATCAAAGCTGAAACAATCATATCAGAATGTCAATTAGTAGAAACTACAAAACTTATACATTTAATTGAAGAACGTAATGAAACAATGGATCAAGCGAAACGAATGCTTGCTGTATATAAAGATATGATGCATCGTGTTGAACGTGCACAAAATGTATTACAATTTGCTAAGAAGGTTAGTTATATAATGAATGTTAATACCCTGGTAGAAATGACCATTGATCTTGTTTTCCATACTATTTCATTATAATTAGATTGTCTTATAACAAATAAAAACATTTATATACAACAAATTATAACTAGATAATAGTCATTAAACAAAAACAGGGCTGAATCACTTAATTTCACTCAAAAATCCATGAAATCATAAACACTTTTTTTAGTATCAGAGGGGGTTTTTGTGTATATTATAGTACTTTCAATAGTTAAGATCATGAGTCCATTGAAACTAGACCACTGTGACTCCTCAGTAGTGCGCATCCACGATCCTGCCTCTCGAGATTTGAATCAAGGACTTATCGGTCTCGCGCTTGAACGCTTAACCTCTAGACCATTGAGCCGACATCCAACAAGAAAACGAAACAGTTCTTTATTCAGTGTTATTCAGTTGACAACAGCAACTTCAGTCAGTCAGTAACAACGTAGAACTTCGTACGTACGTACATCAGTTCGAGTTGCCACACCACATTAGCATAGAGATGCAGTGGTCGATTCAAATCCCGTAGTAGTAGAGGTAATAAGAGTATAAGCAGTAATCGGGAAGATTAGTGTTTGGAGATGTTATTTAAAGAGTATAATACAGTGAAATAAATTTGAGAGGAGAAAAAAAGAGACAAGGAGGAATAAGGAGATCAAAATTTGGGAGAACACAAATAGTGTATGCACCTGCGCCATTGCATACGATTTTGAGCCATGTCATTCAGGGTCTCTAACCATCGGTTGCTATCATCTCGCGGTCCCTAACCAGGTAGTCTACACCTACCAACATGACTCAGTCCACTTGTCAGTGACTTCATGGACTTGTGCCATGTTTTGGTCTGGCCGCCCCTAGCTTTCTTCCAACCTACTCATACCACTGGACATGGTACGTCGAGGCAGTCGGTGGTTGGGCATACGTAACACGTGTCCCAGCCATCTCAACTGATGAAGTTTCACTACTTCATCAATTGATTTGCCATCCTTATCTAGTACCCGTTTCCTAACAACTGCATTACTTACTCGATGGTCCCAGGATATACGAGCAATATTTCGAAGACACCTATGATCAACAAAGAGAATATTAATTTCAAGATGGATTAAACGATTTGTTAATAGATTAAATCAATCGAATTTTATTAGTTCGAGTTCTACTTTCAATACTTTGATTAGAGTAGTCAAATAGTGTATCATTTTGTAGTAATTTTGTATTAAATGATACATTTGTTGAAAGTTTTGTGCAGTAAATTGACACTTAACTATTAAGAACTTTTATTGTTACTCCACAGGGTTAAATTTTAGATGTTTTAATTTCCACTGTTTTTCTGTTTTCTATTATTGATATATTTTGTATTCATAATCTGAAAGCTATCCTGGTGCACATAGGCTCCAGCATCCTGAAGGAAACAAATGGCGTATGAACCAGTTATTGGTCACCAGCTACCATGGGATCGCATATCCTTACGTTGTTCCACTGCCTCGTGGATCAAACCTTTAGGTCGAAGGATCCGGGTGTAGTCCCCCTAAGAAAACCACCTACTTCGATTTGGGCACCCATGCAGTATCCTAACCCTCACACAGATCGAATGATTTATGTGGGGTATATCTGTTTGATGCCTTCTTGTACCAATTTTATGTGTTTAAATGAATAAATACTTGATCTTATTCTAATAACTCAACAAGGACGTCGTTTGCGATTAATGGTAAGTTCAGACAAGGTTACATATAACTACAAAGTGGGCGGAGCATTTCGTATCCTTGTGGCTACGCAGTATATGTGAAACGGGTTGTAAGCATGGTATTGTATCACAGATGAATCCATGAGTTGTATATTACTTCAGTTCAGTTTTGACATGAAGATTTGTCTGTGTATTTATATACTTTTTACTCTGACGTATTTAGGTTGTGGCAGATCTTCACAAGATTTAGATAATCTGACAATGATCACCATATTTAGTAATTTCACTACATGAATATAGTTTTTCATCAATCATTTACAGTTTACCATCTAATTAAACTTATGTGTAATGAATGTTAGATGTGATTAGCTTCTGAACATTTAATGTATAATTTTCTTATTATTATTGATTTGTACTGTGGAATAGATGAGTATAGACTGATTGTTTTCTACTTTTTGGTCATGAATCGTGATCCAAGCCTGTATATAGCACATCGATCGAATATCCAATCTAGTAGTAGGATAAATCTTGATCCTTGTCCTATTATCGTACTATAATAAGATACTGTAGAAAGCAGGAAATAACTTCATCCAGCTATTATATCATAACTATACAGTTACTTCAACGTATTCTTATGAAGAAACTAGCATCAGTAACACAATGTTTTTCAACAGTAACGCAAATTGGACGAAGAAATATTTCTTTTCAATTAGTTCCTCATCAAGGTATTACACTAATATATAAAACAATGTTTCCTTTAAAATAGTAATCATTTAAACATCTCAACAGATGTAACATTAATTTTAAAGATAAAAATGTCTTACGTAATGAACACATAAATATTGGTACAAAGGTGCACTGAATACATATGCGCCACACAAGTCACTTATGTGTGGGCTATCATACTACCCGGAGCCTTCGACCTAAAGGTCTGATCCACAAGACAGTGGGGCATTATTAGGAGATGCAATCCTATAATAGCCGGTCATCAACGATTGATTTATACGCCGCTTGTTCCTTCGTGATGTCAGTCTTGCTGTAAAAGGTCGGGTCTATAACGCGTCAGTGAGAGCAATTTTGCTCTATGCTTGTGGAACTAGGCCTCTCCGAGTTGAGAAAGTTAGTCGGCTCTCTGTGTTTGATTATCGTTGTCTCCGAACAATTGCTGACATTTAGTGGCAACACCATGAAAGTAATGCAGAGGTCTAGCATCGTCCCAGAGAATTCCACATCGTGCATTATTTGTCGACTCTGGGATTGTTGGAAGAAGCGGAGAAGTGGTCAGTGTATTACATGGTGTCGGGGTATGAAAGGAAGCTGCAAAGGCTGACTTCTGTTGGTCCTTCTCGACCCCCTGCCTGGGGTACTAGAGATGTGCAATACAGTGGCTAGAGACGTTATCATATATGGCTCAGTATAAAGCCATTGGCTCCATACCTACGAACCCGTCTAAAGCGTCAGACATTCGCTTTTCATCTTCTCAATTTCATAAACAACAGTGATTAGGATTTCCCTGTCAGTTGTTGTATACTTGTAGCCATATAAGAGCATTTTTAACATTGAAAGCAAACTTTCTTCACCCGGCATCTGTTAGTTTCAATTATGTTTTATTATGTAATTTTGTTTTTTGTTTCTTATTTTAGAAACAAGAATCATTAAAAATGAATTTTGATAAGATTCATTCAAGTATATTGACAATACAAGAGAAACATATCATTTTATTAATTCATATGAACAACAATTAAATAATGCTTTAATTAATCAAGATAAACAAAATGATTTATATCAAAGAAAATTAAATAAATTAACATATGAACGTCGACAAACTGATATGCGTATTTTATCATTAACTGAAGAAGTGAAACAAAAGGTATGTTATATTTCTCATCTTATTTACTTTATTATTTAAACATATAAAGATTAATGGTTAAGATCATAAGTCAGTTGAAATTAGATCACTATGGAAAACCTGGAAGCATTGTTTAACGTCCGTTTCGTCCTATTGTGAGACTCCCTCAGCAGTGCGCATTCACGACTTCGGCCCCTGCGAGGCTCGAACCCAGGAACTACCATTGAAACTAATATAATATCCATAAAACCTCTCTCTGATAATAATCAACATATGCTCACTAGTGACTGGCTTCAAAAGGTATATCCTGGAGTTCTAGTTAGAAGTAGTGATCAATGGAGTCCAACCAGGTCTATTGTGAGATAGTAACTCACTGAACACAATGATGGATGTGTCGCTCAATTTCGTAGATCAGTTGAAGTTAGACATTAACACAGTTAGATGCCGACCAGCTCAGTGGTTTAGTGGTTAAGTGTTCATGCGCGAAACCTGTAGGTCCTGGGTTCGAATCACGCAGGAGAGGGATCGTGGATGCGCACTGCTGAGTAGTCCCACAATAGGACGAAACGGCCGTCCAATGCTTTCAGGTTTTCCATCGTGGTCTAGCTTCAAATGGCTCATGATCTTAACCATTGAAATTACTATAATATCCACAAAACCCATCTGATATAAAGATTAGTACAAGAAAGTACCGAATAGATATACGCCGCACATGTCACTTGATTTGTGTGTGTCGGTTGTAATACTATTCGAGTGCCCAGACTGAAGTAGGTGGTTTTCTTAGGGAGCCACCACCAGAGCTTCGGCCTAAAGGTCTTATTCACAAGGCAGCGGAGGAACGTAAGGTGATACAGTCCCATGGTTGCCGGTGACCAACGATTGGTTCATACACCTTTTTTTTCCTTCAAGATACTGGAGTATATGTATACCATTGGTTTGGAATCAGAGTTTTCCCACTCCCCTAACTGGACTCTCCGTGTCCACGAACCCGATTAAAGCGTCGAACATTCTTTTTTGGTCTTCTCAATTTCATAAACAACAGTAAAAGCGCGAGAAGGCAGTGAGCAGGACTTCCCTGTGAGTGGTTGTATTCACGTGGCCAAGTGAGAGCATTTGGAGAAGGAGAGCTGAATCTTTCCACTCTCGCCCGTACAATGGCATTTAGGGGCTATATCAGACAATATTGATGGAACCAGTATTAATTGAAACATCAATAAACATAACATATAATACCAAAGATTTGATTTTTGCAAGAAAAATAATCAAGTGTTGAAGTATATTAAAAAACTGACTATAAATGAAAACACTGAATTTCAAACCAGTAGCATAGAAGTAATATAATCCAACAGGAATTACAGTATAGTACTGCTAGAGCACAATAAAAATGAAACAACAAATCGATTGATAGGTCTTGGGTTCGAATCTTGCGGGGCGGGATCGTGGATACGCACTGCTGAGGAGTACTATACTAGGACGAAAAAGCTGTATAGTGTGTATGAAGCAATCGTTGGTTACCAGCTACCATGAGTTATTGGATATGAACTACACTTTAATTGTCAGAGCTAATCATACTAATCCATTGCCCAAACTGAATTAGATGCGACAGAGTTCAAGCCAGGGACTTAATAGCTAAAAGTCGAATGGTTTACCTAATAAATCATCGCTTCCTTTTCTATATAACCCGTTGACTAAGTTCAACTCCCATGTAGTTAATTTTCAGTCACAATCTTTTCTATAATATTTGATGGTTACAGTAACAGATGAAGTAGATTCTAAACTCAATGGTTAAGATCATGAGTTAATTGAAACTAGATCACTGTGGAAAACCTGACAGCATTGGACAGACATTTTATCTTAATATGGTACTCTTCAACAATGTGCATCCACGATCCTGCCTCGCGACATTCGAACTCAGGATCTCGTGTGCGAGCGCTAAACCACTAAACCAATGCATAGACAAATAAACTACTTTTTTTCTCTTACCAATCACTTCATCATATTGTAATAAACGTAAATCTTTGATATACATCCATTATATATTTTTAGTCATTATTTTTATTCTTGATTAAATTTCTTTTGTTTTCTTTCTTTGTTTATTTTCTCTTGATCAATCATCAGGATCTACAAAATAATGAATTGAAAACAATCAAAGATCAATTACTATTATCACCAATTCGTTAAATATGTAAAGATAGAAATTATTGGTAACTCCTATGTCTTCCACTTTATTATTATTACTGTTATTGTTACTATGAGTAGTATTGCATTTCAGTGTATGGTTATGACATTTAATATCATGTTGTTATCAGTTGTGATGGGGGGGGGTGTTTTCCTTTTCTCTCCTCCTTCAAAACGATAAACAATTTGTAACATGATAGAGTAAAGATTCTATTTATTTATTCATTCATATTTTGCATAGATTTCTATAAAATGTTTCTTTTTTTTTCTAAAACTAATAAAATTATAATCATAAAGAAGGTTTTATGAATATTATGATAATTTCATGAATCTTCATCGACTGAGGTGGTTGAGTCACGTGGTACGTATGCTAGAATGCCGATTACCGGTGTTAGGGATGGTTGGAAGAAAGTTAGGGGCGGCCAAATCACAATGTGGCATCAATTCTTGGAGTCACTAAATTCTGGTCTGAGTCATGTTTGGAGATGCAGACTACTTGGTTGGGATCCGCCTGACTATCGTAACCAATGGTTGGAGACTCTTGGTGACATGGCTCAGAATCGATCACAATGGTGTAGGTGTTCAAAACACTCTCTATCTTCCCTAAACCATGAGATTAAAATCGCTTCATATCTTCTTTCTACCAACTAATTCTTTCTTCCTGTACTGAAACTTTATATGCAATCTTTCTCCTATATATATTATCACCTTTGACCTAACCACTCTTATGAATCCAGTGTTCATCTTGTTGTGCTAATGCGGTATGGCAACTTGGATCAATGCATATATATGCCTAGTCCTACGTTGTTGCTGACCGACTGACTGAGTTGAATTCATGAGTCGATTGAAGCTAGATCACCATCGAAAACCTAGAAGCATTAGATGGCTGTTTTCCCTAGTATGGAACTTCTCGGCACTGCGCATCCACGATCTTTCTTCGCGAGATTCGAACTCAGGATCTATCGGTCTCACGCGCGAGCGTTTAATCTGTAGACCGCTAAGCCGGCATTCTTCTAGTAGTTTATGTTACATAATGTTAGAAGTGTAATTCTTAGAGAAGATTGATAATAAATTTTAGCAATATCTACATATTGTGCTTCTAATTGTTGTAATATAGTTAAAATAAAAATTTCAATTTTACCGATTAACTGTGTTCACTAATTGATGATCATATAATTTTCAATGAGTGAATTATCTAATATATTATCGTGGATGCGTACTGCTGAAGAGTTCCACATAGGACGAAACGGCCGTCCAGTGCCTCGAGGTTTTCCATGATGGTCTAGTTCCAATTGATTCATGAATTAAACTATTAAATTAATAAAATTGTATCGCACCTAGATCTTACAGTTATTTTTCTCGATGACTTACAGGATAGATAGTATATGATACAGTGTAATTTTCATTTTAAAGTCTAATAGTTTTTCATCCAAATAATTAAGATTCCTCAATTCAGATGGTGGAGACATATATGAGTGTAAGTTGTTAGAGTATGAAAAGGGTAAAAATTTGGGTAAGTCTTGTAATCGTGCAACACTAAATTAAGGGTTAATAATGGTGCTCTGTGAGACTGGAACATATATTCGGACGCTTTGCATACATTTGGGCTTGCTTCTGGGTTGTGGTGTGGAGGAACTTAGGCGGTTAAAAACTGGTTTTATGTCTGAAAGGGTATGTTCAATCAAAGTCCTTCATATTGCAGGACAACCTGGTCACGATGCATGACATATAAGATGCTAAGTAGCTTTTTATGACAATAGGCGAGATGAGACTTACTTGCGTCGCGTTATTATGCCTCTTGAAAAGCTGCTAATCAAGCACAAACGAATTATGCCTAAAGATACTGCCGTAAGTCGCTTTACGTATAGAAGCATGTGTAGATTAAGTGTGCGCTATTTGCTTCGGTGCGAAATTTGTGTTACCTGGTGTACTCTGTTACGACGACATCAACGTCGACAATGAAATAGTCCTAATGACTACCAAAGGCGAAGCCGTAGCTCTTGATAAGTCATTTCAGATCAGCACTAACTTCAAGCTGTTACACTTATGACTACTGCAACAATCGTGACTTGTTACCATAGATTAGTCTCAAAAATGAAAAGGGTGATAATGGAGCGTGATCTTTATCTTCGCCAGTAGGGTCGCGGTCCTATATCCGTGAAAAGGGAAAAACTTGTTGCCCAAGATTTACCTAAAAAGTTTGCCAAATCTGACGGTGTGACGACATCAGCACAAACTACATGTAGAAGTCAAGTGTTTGTTCAGAAAAACGATGAAAGTTCCACGACCAAACTATCCAGCTCAAAGAACAAAACTCTATCAAAATTCCTCAATTCAGAAAATAATTGAAAAATATATTTGGGATACTCTTATGTTGTTGCCAAAAATCTGCATGTAAAATAAGAATTATCTTAATACGGTTAACAGATTAGAAATAACTATGGTAACTGTGAGGAAACTGTTTATATTTCAATCATTTGGTATATTGTTTTCCCTTTGCAATTGTAAGTAAATTCTTCTAAGAATGTTTGTTGCTTCTTAACAATCATTGAATTATAACAGAAAAAGAAAAACACAGTTTAAACTATGTCATCATTTGATACGCATTATGTGTTACATACATCTGCTAACGGATCTAGAGAATGAAACCCATAATACAGTAATATTAGAAAACTAATATAAAACTGTATATATAATGATTAAAAGTACTCGAGTTATTGTACTTACTAGGAATTCCCAAAACAGTGTAATTTAAGCCAGACACAATTAGATGAACACAAACGAACGTATTATATTTGGAATACATTATAAGCGGATAATCTGTGGTGCGTGCTACTTATATTGATGTAAGTAGTATATGACGCGAAATAGGAACGTATTGTCTGGCAGAAGAAGATGGGGGCAGATCAAGAACGAGAACACAATGCAATTTGTATGAAAACGCATGAACAATGAAATGTGAGACAGTAGATTGATGATTGTAACAGGAACAGTCCTGTTTGATATGATGGATTGATACTTTGCAAACTAACGATTTACTATATGGATTTTCTATTTTACCAAGTAACTCTGTAATGTTGTGCTAAATACAATTTGATTGCCCCCATCCGTGTTCTGTTCACTACAAATCTAGTACAAAGGAATCATTCATTCGTATAAATACCACAGTATAATATATGTGCGTTGTAGAGAAGTAAAACAGTCTTCTGACTTTATTTAAACTTGAGCTGTTTTTTTTAAAGTGATGAAGTTGACTGTTGTCAAAGATCTACATAGCTAACATCAACTCTTAATATACACATAAGTTAAGTTCACTTGGTATTGTTTTTACTTGAATTTTCCCATTGATGTTTAGGACTGCAATTGATTAGTCTCTTATTGGAATATGTGCATCCTGTGCGTATTGCCTTAATTTACAAGCATTATGAGCAAAGATGGATGGTGGCTAGCAGTAGAATCCAGTTTGATGCGCGTTACGTCCTATTTGGGACTCGTCAGCTAGATATACCTGCATCTCAGAGTTGATATTCACTCCGCGACTCGAACCCAGTACCATTCACTTTAAACACCATCGCGTTATCCACTTAGTTACATAAGTCGTTTGAATCGTTTTGGTGAAACTTTTTATACACTATTTGAAATAATTCGGTTCGGAGTCACGCTTATCAGGGCTAGTGTAATTATTCCTTGATTGCTCAAATTAAATTAAATGTCGTTGACCGATTGATAGAACTTGTAAAGTCGCCATCAATTAATCTAAGAACTTTTAATTACATCCTACACTGTCCTGAACATTACACTAATGGATTTAAGGAGTATCCATGGTCATTACGATAAGTATAAGCTTTTGGGGCCTCCTATACTTACTTACGCCTGTTACTCCCAATGGAGCATAGGCCGTCGACCAGCATTCTCCAACACACTCTATCATGGGCCTTCCCTTCCAGTTCTAACCAATTGTTGTTCATTTTTGTGATGTCTGTCTCCATTTCTCAATGTCAAGTGTGATTCGATTGGTGCATGCTGTGTTATGTTGGAGAACCTTGCTGTATGCTGAGACCTAGTGCTGCTACACTGGTCGTCTTCTCCTGTATTTGTTGTTGCCTTTTATATTAATTACCCTGTTGATGAAACTGATTACAGTAAGGTTCATGTTGATTGAAATACTGAATAATACGAAGATTTTGTGTTTGATAATCAGTTTACAGCTTTATATAGAATAACTTAGTCTAATAAAAGCACTCATTCATTGTTTACGTATCCATAAATGGTGTTGTATAATTAACCACCAAGAAATACCAGGTCTATTAATAAAGCAGATAAATATTCATATAATTAACGTGATACTGCGATCTTAAACCTTAATGGGAAGATACAAGCCAAACAATACCAACTGAATTCTAATTCACCCCATTGCACAACCAAGTGTCTATCAGGAATCAGTAGCTGAGTGGATAACGCGATGGGGTTTGAAGTAAATGGTACTGGGTTCGAATCTTAGAGTGAACATCAACTCTGAGATGCAGGTACATCCAGTTGACGAGTCCCAAAGTGGACAAAACGCACGTCCTAGACTCCACTGCTAAACACTATCCATCTTTGCTTAACGCGATATTTCTGAAATATTATTATCCAGCTGTATTACTTATGAGTAACTAGTCTTTTATTACATATATAATTCTTCACGTCATATTGGGTAATCATATATTTCCTTTTCATCGGTTCATGTAATTAATGCTTGTCCAGCCAATTTTATTTAGTTATTTGCGTTTTTATAGCTAAGGGTTCATGCTTAGTATCAAAAATTGAAAAGTTAGTCTATCATATGATTAAATGATTCTTGAATACAGCGCAAACAAGTTGCCTTTATTCAGATGAAACCGACAACATAAAGTATAGCCAATACTTGATAGATAATCTTCATAACGAACTAATACTGTATTAATTCAATGTGTCAAAAGTCATATAGAATCTCAGATATGTATCCGGTCACTATCTTTTGACATATATTCGTCCTGAACGGATTGTATCGATACCTATGTGATGAAATGAACGTATTGTATTTAACAGCTATCCAACATACTAAAAAAATCTTTAACGTCTAGTTTTTCGTACTGTCATAGATACTACATTTGTCATTTTGAATCTTTCTGTTCATCTCATCAGTTTCATCACCTTGTTTTATAAGAATTTGAGTCGATATACATTTGTATCGGGTAGTACATCGACCATCACTGGGAATGGAATAGTATGCTATCCTTAATAGTTAATTCCTACAGCCTTTCACAGAATTGAACTCAATTCTCGTGATATTTGTGATACTTTTAAACTACTTAGTCGGAATATAAATTTTTAATTGAGTTAACTCATTTACCAGTACTTGGGTATGAGCCAAACTCTGTGAAGCTAGATGCTGTTGACCAGTTGTGCAAACCAAAATAGATATGGCAAGGTTCGAACCTGAGACTTAGTGAATGAAAGTCGGAATATAACTGCTTACAATTGAAACTTTACCTAACAACTGTTTCGATTAACTGGTAAATTATATGTACAATCGTCAATTAAGTTCATGCAGATATGGGGAAGTAATTTATCTAAACACATAAATATTGGAACAAGGAAGCCACATAAACCACTCGATTGGTGTGAGGGCTGTGTTACTGCCTGGGTGCCCAAACCGAAGCTGGTGGTTTACTTAGGGGGCCATACCCCGAGCCTTGGACCTAAAGGTTCGACCCACAAGACAGTGAAGCATCGTGAGGAGATGTAGTTCCATGGTAGCCGGTGACCAACGATTGGTTCATACGCCATTTGTTCCCTCAGGATACTGGAGCCCATGTCCACCATTGGTTTTGGATCCGGTTAAAGCGCCGGACATTCTCTTTTCGTCCTCTCATTTTCGTAAATAACACCCCCCCCACGAGAAAGCAGTGAGTAGGACTTCCCTGGCAGAGGCTGTATGCGCGTAGCCGTGTGACAACATACCCGTACCAGGGAATTTAGGGGCATTATCAATCTGTTTGAGGAATTCGAATTATCATTTACAGTTGATGATTAAGATTAAGAATTAGATTTCAGGGTTTTCATCACGAACTGACATAAACTATGATGTCAAGATGCTATTTGGCCAAATGGATAAGTGAATTTTGTGTCAAAACCCAAGACCTTATATCTTATTACCTGATTAGTTGGTTCATCCTAAGTTATTAAAACAATTCAAATTCATATCAAAACATTTATTACAAATAAGAAACATCAATTAGATAATATACAGATTACAATAGTTGAACTATTCATCAAATTGATCTATGTGATATTTTATTCATTTCGTTTTAATCTCCATATATCTGATGCAAATTGAAATGAATCTAAATTCCAATCATGATTTGATTGTAATGAATTCATGAATGGATTCCATAATTGATTGACAAGATTGATAGTGGATTGTAAAAATGCATAATCTATCAATTGTATACAAAATAGATATAAAGATAATAGAGAAAGATAGAAATTAAACCTGAATCTAAGAAGAAATGATGGTAAATCAGTTGATGAGATTGTGAATCTTTATCGACTGAGATGGTTGAGTCACGTGTTATGTATGGCTGAACACCGATTACCACGACATGCAATGCTAACTAGTGTTGGAGATGATTGGAAGAAAGTTAGGAGCGGCCAAACTAAAACATAACATCAGTCTTTAAAGTTACTAACTTCTGGTCTGATCCATATTGGTAGATACAGACTACTTGATTGAGATAAGCGTGACTATCGTAACCAATAGCTAGAGACGTTTCGTGAAATGGCTCAGAATCAATCACAATGACGTAGGTGTATATATTCTTAGTTTTCCCTTAAACTGTGAGATTAAATCTACTTTATACCTTTCTTTGTACGAATTCATTCTTCCTAGATGTATCATAAACTATCTTATCTTTAAACGTTATTACCATTGAAGTGACTACTTTTATATATTCGGTGTTCATCTTATTGTTCTAATGAGGTGTGGCAATTTGGACCAATGCTTAGTCCTACGTTTTAACTGATTGACTGACTGATAGATTGTTCGGTGAATATAGTTGTTTCATTCAATAAGGAGATTATTCATCGGTTTAACTATTCCATGTTAAGATCTCTAAGTTGATTCAATTCTATCTTTTTGTATAGGTGCCAACCAATTACGTAATCACATTTTTACAAACATATGACCCCATTTTCGCATACAAATATAAATAAATCTCAACCATAATATAGAATTTCTTTCCTTAGATTTTATACTTTTGATTAATTGTATTGTTCATATCATTATTTCAAAAGTTTATAATGAAAGTATATAGAATGTTTATCATTACACTCTTATTAACCAACTGGAAATCCAAACTGTTTGTAACTGATGGATGATGATAAGATTGAATTGACAACGTGAACCGTTTCGTCACATCAAAGGATAAGACAATTAATCACAAGATAAAATTTTAAGGTAATACCTGGAGGTAGTCAACAGGAAACTTCAAACATAGGCTTCGTATTATTTGGTACTCGTCAGCGAGATGTAACTGTAATCTTAGGATAGACAATACTCCTAGATGATTCAATTCCGTGTCACTAGCTCTAAAGTATCCTGTCGACTATCTCTAACCAACAACCTACATGTCAGTGTGGTGCACGCGATGTCCAGTCACTTAGCTTAGTGGCCACATTGTAAATTGATCAATAAAATTCGATCAACATTAAAAAACAATTGACATACATGATATTGGTTACAACCTAGTGATCAATCAACCGTTAAGAATAAGTTTTTCTTCTCTAGTAAATTAACATACTTATTTACAATTAACTGGCCCCCAAATGCCCTGGTATGGCCGAGAGTGGGGAGAGTCACCTCTCCCAATCCAAATGCTCTCTTACAGCCCCTGCCAGGGAAGTCCTACTCACTGCCTTCTCGTGGCGGAGGTGTTGTTTACGAAATTGAGAGGATGAAAAGCGAACGTCCGGCGCTTTAACCGGGTTGGTGGATATGGGCTCCAGTATCCTGAAGGAACAAATGGCGTATGAACCGATCGTTGGTCGCCGGCTATCATGGGACCGCATCTCCTTACGTTGCTCCACTGCCTTGTGAATTAGACCTTTAGGTCGAAGGCTCAGGGTGTGGCCCTCTACGAAAATCACCTACATCGGTTTGAGCACCCGGGCAGTATCACAGCCCTCACACATATCAAATGAGATCTGTGTGACGCATACATATTTGGTGCCTTCTTGTACCAATATCTATGTGTTCAAATAAATAAATAAACAATGAACTGATCACTGATTGGTAATCAATATCATATCAAGTTCTTTTTAGTATTGATCGAACTCTATAGATCAAGTTACTTATTTATAATAAGCACAAATATGATTAAACTTCATTTATATAAACAAGAGATTAGGGGATATAAATTTTCGTAGTTCACTTTACTCACTGTCAGTTAATGAATTAAGAAATTCTGACTAACAAATATAATTTTTAGAATGGGTTTTGTGGAGATTTTTAGAAATTTCACTGATTGAAATCATGAGTCAATTGAAGCTAGACCATCATGGAAAACCTGGAAGCACTGGACGGCCGTCTCGTCCTAGTATGCGACTCCTTAGCAGTGCGCATCCACGATCTCGCACCCAGGACCTATCAGTCTCGCGCCAAGCGCTTAACCAACTAGACCACTGAGCCGGCATCTAACGGTGTTAATGTCTAACTTCAACTAATGCACGAATTTGCGCCACCGTACACCAATGTCTTCAGTGAGTTGATTTCTCAGAACATACCTGGTTGAACTCCATTGGTAACGGCTTCCAGGTTTTCCATGGTGGTCTAACTTCAATTGACTCATGATTTCAACTTGTGAAATATAATTTTTGTTCATCAAATTAAAAGCAGGTGAATAAGCAATGAGAAGTCAAAGTCCATCTATGACTCTGCGCACATAAACATACAAGACCAAACTTAAAACTTTGTGGTCATATAGCGGTAAATAAATAATTCTGTAAGTCTTCGACATTTATACTGACCTCATCAGCTGAAGACACTCGGTCGCGCATCCGTATCAGATCAACACTGGGTACACCATGCTACGCATTTCCTTACAACACTTCTCGACATACTGAATGCTTTCCAAATATTTCTTGAAATCCCTTCACTCCTAACTTTTGGTTTGACTGGATTTTGCATCTTTCAATTATAGTATTATGCACAAAAGTGTTATATCCCGATAAGCATAATCAATGGTAACTTTTGAGAACTATTTATTGGTCAATACGATACATATATTTTGTGTTGCATAATTATTAAGTAACTAAACGATGCATACTCAAGTTCCTCTTCGTAAAAGCTTTATTTTGATCCATAGACTATTATTATACGATTTACCGTTCTTGAGTTATATCCAGTCTATGAATTACTACCTCCCACATTGATAACGACATTTAGCTAAATCTTGTACAAATGTTGTCTTCTATTTTACGGTACGATATCGTCTATATGCTTTATATATAAACCCAGTATGTTTGAAATACATCATTGATATCACAGAGGCTGAGATTGATGTTCTGGACTTGATAGACAGAGCTAGATTGGAAGAAGAATCAATAAGGAATCTACACAGCTCATAAGGATTTATGCATTATTGATCGGTCGATAAGTTATTGTCCTCTAATTGGCGGTATCATTATGTCATATATATAAATATGAATAGGGTACAAGGCCACAAGTTATAACAAAAAAAAATGTGCTATCAAAGTCTGAATAAATGTGACATATTTAATCACAAAGTGTAAGTACAATATCATTAAGTGTCAATTATAATGATGCTTATGTTTTATAGCTACGATATTTCTATATCTTTTACAAGTTTTAACATAAGGTTAAACAGAATATTCGTTTCTATGGTAATATTGTATTCAATACAAAATCTAATTTAAAATATTTTATTTTAAATTAAGTTTAATAATAAACAAAATGCATAGTATATATATATTGATACTTATAGATACGTAAATAACTTACAATTTTCTGCTTCTAATATTTCTTCCAATATTTTATGAGGTAATATTTTTTTCAAGGGATACTACATAGCAACACGAACAACAACAAAAACAAAAACACATCTAGCATATAGATGATGATCATAGACACGAATTACCTTTAATTAGTCTTTATCAGTATACTAACTTACTTACTTACGCTTGTTACTCCTCGTGAAGGAGTATAGGCCGCTCAACAGCATTCTCCATCCAATCCTGTCCTGGGCAATCCTTTCTAGCTCCTTCCAGTTGTTATTCATCCTTTTCATATCTGCTTCTGATTCCCGACGTAATGTGTTCTTTGGCCTTCCTCTTTTCTGCTTCCTTTCAGGATTCCAAGTTAGGGCTTGTCTCGTGATGTAGTTTGACGATTTGCGTAATGTATGTCCTATCCATTTCCATCGTCTTTTCCTAATTTCCTCAGCAGCCAGAAGCTTGTTTGTTCTCTCCCAGAGAAGGCCGTTGCTGATAGTATCCGGCCAATGGATGCTGAGTATCTTGCAAAGACAGCTATTTATAAATACTTGTACCTTTTTGATGATGGTTGTTGTAGTTCTCCAAGTTTCAGCTCCGTACAGTAGAACTGCCTTGACGTTCGTATTGAAGATCCTGACCTTGATATTGGTTGAAAATTGTTTTGAGTTCCAAATGTTCTTCAATTGTAGGAATGCGACCCTTGCTTTGCCATCCTCGCCTTTACGTCTGCATCTGAACCTTCTTGTCCATCGACGATGCTTCCTAGGTATGTGAAGGACTCTACATCTTCCAGAGTTTCGCCATCAAGAGTGATTGGATTGCTGTTCTCTGTTTTGAATTTGAGGACCTTGGTTTTCCGCTTGTGTATACTGAGGCCTACTGATGCCGAGACTGCTGCTACATTGGCTGTCTTTATCTGCATTTGTTCGCGTGTATGTGATAGGAGGACTAGGTCATCTGCGAAGTGCAAATCGTCTAATTGGTTCTGAACTGTCCATTGTATGCCGTGTTTTTCCTCAGATGTCGAGGTTGTGGAACTTATTGAGTTTTTTTTATTGAGATCCTGAACTGATTGGTGTTAACCACCGTTGGAAACCTGGAAGCAATGGACGGCGTTTCGTCCTGTTGTGGGACTCCTCAGTGGCAGCGCGCATCCACGATCGTGCCCGCAGGATTCTAACCCCCAGGGCCTTCAGTCTTGTGCGCGAGCGCTTAATCTACTGGACCATAGAGCCGGCATCCAATGATGTTAATGTCTCACTTTAACCAATCCACGAAATTGCGCGACTATCTTTCATTGTACTGAGGTAGATAACTGTCTCTACCCGACACGGATTAGCTCTACTGGTCACGGCTTCTCACTAGAACTCCGAGGATTCCCTCACGAAGCTAGTCACTATTGAGCACATGATAATTATCAGTATAGGGTTGTGGAGATTATTAAGTTTTTGATTGAGATCATGAACCGATTGATGTTAGACCATCAGGAGGTTAAGTGTTGGCGCGCGAGACTGAAGGCCCTGGGTTCCAATCCCGCGAGCGGGATCGTGGATGCACACTGCTGAGGAGTCCCACAATAGGATGAAATGACCGTCTAGTGCTTCCTGGTTTCAATGCTAGTCTAACATCAATCGGTTCATGATCACAATCAAAAAGTTTGATTAATCTGTTATGTCCCAGTTCGAGACTCAATACACAACAAGTCCCACAGAAGTCTATTGGTTTGAATTACTTTATAGTAAAAACTTGATTTGTAAAATCAAATGCCTTTGTATGACCAGAGTCATCTCACCTTTTCGAAATGCTCTCATATGGCCACGTGTATATATCCATTACTAGGGTGGTCCTACTCACTACCTTCTCTTGGTCGCAGTGTTGTTTACGAAATTAAGAGGACGAAAAACGAACATCCGGCGACAAACATAGGTTGGTGGGTGTAGTGAACAAGAACACCAGTGGGGACAATTGAATGTATTTGACCACATAATTACAGAGCATCTCAATTAAATCTGAGAACCATATAGAAAATCGTTAATTTGCAAAATATCAACCCGTCATTTCGAACTGGACTGTTCCTGTTGCAAACATCAATCCGTTGTCTCACATTTCATTGTTCATGCGTTTTCATACAAATTGCATTGTGTTCCCGCTCTTCCTTTCTTGATCTAGCCGCATCTTCTGCTGCCAGACAATACGTTCCTATCTCGCGTCATATACTACGTATATCAATATAAGTAGCACGCACCATAGTGGGCACGAATAATCCACCTAGAGGAGTTAGAAAACTCTGATTCCAAACCAAAAGTGGGCATAAGCTCCAGGATCCTGAAAGAGCAAATGTCATATGAACCCATCGTTGGTCACTGACTACCACGGAACTGCATCTTCTAAAGTTCCTCCACTACGTTGTGGATTAGACCTGTCGGAGTGTACCCCTCCCCCCAAAAAAATACCTGTTTCAGTTTGGCCACCCGGGCAGTATCCCAGCCTTCATATAGGTCGAATAATTTGTGTGACTCATGTCTATTTGGTACCTTCTTGTACCAATGTTTAAGTATTTAAATGAATAAATGTAAAATCAAAATCGCAAGGTGTTTCATCTATAAAAACATGTATCTTCAGTTTATTCTAAAAGTTATAAGCCAAGACATAATATAATATAAAACAGTTTCCAATAGAACAATAGGATAATTAATCCATATGTAAACCTTCAAAACATATTTGAACTTGATAGAAATGTAGACAAAAATCATATTCAATTAAGCATATTACATACAAGAAAATAACCATCTCATTTAGAACAAACAAAACTATAAGATAGTTACCATATACATATTTTTATTATACTATATATTGATCATGCTTATTGTACTTTTTGTTCAGCTTGAGTTGAGCTTATTAGGTGTAAGTGAGGTTTCAATATAGTATTTATTTTAACACATAAATATTGGTTCAATGAGGCACCAAATAGGTATGCGCCACACAAGTCACTTGACCTGCGTGTAGGCTGTGACACTGCCTGGGTGCCCAAACTGAAGTAGATGGTTTTCTTGAGGGGGGCACAACCGGAGCCTTCGACCTGAAGGTCTGATCCACAAGGCAGTGGAGCAACGTAAGGAGATGCAGTCCCATGGTAGCCGGTGACCAATAATTAGTTCACACGCCATTTGTTCCTTCAAGATCCTGGAACCCATGTGCACCATTGTTTTTGAATCAGGGTTTTCCAACTCTTCTAGGTAGATCCTCCATATCCACGAACCCGGTTAAAGTGCCGGACATTCGCTTTTCGTCCTCTCAATTTCGTGAACAACAGTAATACCACGAGAAGGCAGTGAGTAGGACTTTCCTGGTAGTGGCTGTATACGCGTGGCCATGTGAGAGCATTTCTAGAGGGAGAGGTGACTCTTTTCTCGGCCGTATCAAGGCATTTGGGGGCTGCAATATATTAAAGTCATATTAGTGAACATTTAACAAGTTTAATTTTATGGTATTGAAAAAGTATTGTTCCTTCAAAGTTAAGTGGTTACAAAAATAAATTTGAGGCTAAATAATCAACTATTGTTATAGATTTGCAATTCATTTATGGTATTTGCTTATTGTAAACCCTTCACTTAGATTCAAGACTTTACTTGCCTACTTACTTACGCCTGTTACCTCTCGTGGAGGAGCATAGGCCGCGAACACTAGTATTCAATTCAAGAATATGGAGCTATTTCCTAGAATGGTAAGGTGAAATCACTGGTAAGGTCATGGATACTCATTAGTACGGAATCTCATATTACAACAAAACATCTATCCAGTGATTACTGATTTCGTTGATTGTCTAATTAAGTTAAACCCCTAGTATAAACTACATAATCACAAATAATTGACTAACACTAACCTTTACTATGAATGTTATCAATTCTACATGCAGCATAGCTTTGAGCTGATCCAAAGGTTTCGATTCAGAAAATAGAACGATATACATTGTCAATGGATTAATTGAGTTGCCTAAAAAAAATAAACAAAGTAAATTTATACATTTTCAATGTACAATTACAGATTTAAATATCCGACTTTACTGTTGTTTTATTCACTTGGTGCTCTTTTACTTGTATCATCCCATTGTTATTTAGAACTGCAATTGATCAATCTCTTGTTGACATATGTGCATCCTGTGCGGATTGCCTCAATATTGTCTTACTTCACAAGCTTTATAAGCAAGGATGAATAGTGGCTAGCAGTGGAATCCAGTTTGATGCGCGTTTCTTCCTATTTGGGACTCCTCAGCTGGATATACCTTTATCTCAGAGTTGATATTCGCTCTGAGACTGGAACCCAACTAACGAGTTCTAAAATGGGACGAAACGTGCATCCTGTATTCCACTATCCATCCTTGCTTATTGTTGTTTTATTTAAAGAGCTAATAATACCTACTTGATTATCTAAATTGAAGTGGATGAGAAATGTGCATACATGTGACCTAATAGCTAAAAGTCGATGTCTTAACTAATTATGAATCGAAAATATAGTCAAGTTTAAATTAGAGCATACGAATTATGGATTGTTTGTATGTTCACAAGTGAACAGGAATGTAAAGTTAGAACAGCCTTTTTATATGTTTCACTAACTATGGGAGTGGATTGGTTAATAGGAGGAAATCTAAATAAGAAAAGTAATTAGATAGGGAAGCAGATACATCTCCTTTACTTTGTACCTCTGATATGCGAAAAAACACCTGTTTGCTCTACTGAAACAATCGAAGAGAAGCTACAGGGTTTGAGTGACACACTTTTAGAAAATAGATATAACAGAAAGCTTATAAGCAAATTTATGGCCACAATAGTTAGAATGAGAGAAGTACAAACAATGAATAAGAAATCCTTGTTCATGAGCCAACAATTTAGAGGCAATACAGACAATAAACTACTGATCTAGAGTGTACTTAGAACAATCTAGAGAATAGTCAATCCCAGAAAACAATGACTAGTATTTTTCACGCCATCAATGATGATATCGAGGTTAAAAGATGAACTACCTAGAATCTTCACGTTATTTTGTATTTATTAATTCAACTACTGTAAAGCAACTTATACTGACAGACGTCCTAGAGATTCACATTTTTGTGTTCGTCAACACCTTTCAGCCTGGTTAAACAAAGATATGGTTAAGATAGTGAATCGCACAAGTCTCACTCCTTTAAACTAATCATAGTCTAAGAGTAAATAATTAATTTTCAATAGCTTATCAAGTTAGTAATTTTCTATCAAAACCTCTTCTCTTACCCTGATCAACTACAAACAAAATAAGTTAATGGTCATCTAACGTAACTCAGGTACATATAGCCTTTCCTTATATTTTACATAACTTAAATTTACGTTATTGAAATATCAAGAGGTATTGCTCTAGAGTACTATTAGGAAGCAGCGATTAGTGGAGTTCAACCGGGTCTATTATGAGATATCAACTCACTGAACACAATGATGGATGTGTCGCTAAATTTCGTGGATTAGTTGAAGTTAAACATTAACACAGTTGGATGCCGACCAGCTCAGTGGTCTAAGGTTAAGCATTCGCGCGTGAGACCGATAGGTTCTATGTTCGAATCTCGTGAGCGAGATCGTGGACTCGCACTGTTGAGGAGTCCCGCAATAGGACGAAGAAACCGTCTATTGCTTCCAGGTTTTCCATGATGGTCTAACTTTCAATTGGCTCATGATCTCAACTATTAAAATAGTTGATTGGAAATATTCTCACTAAATAGAATAGAATAATTGTATTTAACAAATATACTTTGACATATGATCCCGACCGTAGCTTCTACCTTGACGCTGTGGTCGGGCTTGCCTATCGTGGTGACCCAACTGAGCTATATTGGCTGGAACATATGTTCCTGTACGTTCTACCATGTCATGCAGGTCAATTGAAGAACGGTAAGACTAAAAGCAGCAACTCAAGGTCTGAGGGCGAAGTCGTACTGCTGACTGTAGAGGAGTGTGACAGAAGTAAGGTGTTTCCCTCGGACAACCAGCATCTACAGCGATGCTGCCTTCCCACAAGGAAGGGGTTAGAAAAGGTCGACCCTAAAAATGTCACACCTCACCTTAACTCACGGATTTCCGTCTCCGGCGGTAAGGCCCTTTGAAGAACGGACTAACACGTCAAAAACCTTCCACAAAAATGCCGTGCGCGACCGGCCTCAAGCAGTTTTCCCTTGGCTCTGCGGTCACTCACCCAGGTCGTTAAGACCAACACTAATCCAATTTCCTTTTCGGGTTCCTCAAGAAATACCCTTCCACGATGTGGTCAGCCGGAAGTGACATCAGCCCTCATACCCGTAACAACACACGAGACTAAGTTGGTCACATTCAAATCCTTCCTACACCTTCTAATACCCCCTCTCTTGCTAACAAATATCAACAAAGATGAAGAACCTACATTTGGAAGTTTTCTTAATCATTATCTCTAACCATTTAAAATATGTCAAAGTACATAGATCATGTCGAATTATTTAGACTAATCATCACAACACTGAAACTTGATCAATAAAATCAAGTCAGAAGCACTACAAAGAGAGATGAAGACAAGATGTGATTGATTATTAATTAGATTTTCTTTCTTAAACAAATTATACTAATTAGATTTGATTTTAGTATTTTTAAAGAAACTAATTGACTTGAATTATACCTAGTAGTGAGTACAGGATGTATACTTCATCTTATTTCTAACTCTACAAATGGATTTACTTTCAAAATTCCAGCCTTGAATAGATGATAATATCAAGATGTACATATACCAATAGAACCTAATCAATTTCCGTCCTTAGTGTCAACTACAGTAAAATAAAAACTTTTACAAAAAGAAAAACTGACTGATTGACTTAGTTTTAAGTATAAAATACAGAGATTCCACGTCCGGAGACGATCATGACATCTTATGATCCACAATTTCTTTTAATTTCTTTCAATCTGAGTTAAAATGAATCAATCTTAATGATAAATTGATGTTTCGTATGTGAAATGGTTGGTACGTAGTATTAAGGAATTCTAAGTTAGAAAGAAACAACTGACAAGAACTATATCAAAAAGACATAAGATTTACTATGAAACAGAAACATATATATCAACCAATTAAGATAACTAACTTTGAACCATATGACAGTTGGACTATCGAAGATTACAACAAGCGGATTGAATGATGTTAAACTACATAACAGAACTAATGGCACAGACCCAAGTGCATTCTTCTGACGAGTCTCAAATAAGGCAATCCTGAATCCCGTTAATAGTCATATTCCATACATTTTACATCAACTAGTGATAATATAGTTACTTCATTAGTTGAAATCATGAGTCGATTGAAGCTAAACGATCATGGAAAACCTGTAATCACTGGATGGCCGTCTCATCGTATTTTGAGACTTCTCAGCAGTGCGTATCCACGATCCCGCCTCACAAGATTCGAACACAGAACCTATCGTTCCACGCGCGAACGCTTAACCTCTAGACCACTGAGTTGGCCGGCATCCGACAGTGTTAATGTCTAACTTCAACTAATCCACGAAATTGCGCCGCCGTGCACCATTGTCTTCAGTGAGCTGATATCTAGCAACAGACCCGGTTGAACTCCACTGGTTATGGCTTCTCACTAGAACTCCAGGAAATGCCTCTTGAAGTCAGTCACTAATGAACAGATGATTATTATGAAAAAGGGTTTTTATAGAGATTTTATTAATTTCAAAAGTTGACCATGTGTAAATTGAAGCTAGAATACCATGGAAAACCTGGAAAGACTGGACGATCGTTTCGTCCTACTGGTCTAGCTTCAATTGACTCATGATCTCAACTATTGAAAATACTAAAATCACCGCAAAACCCCTTCTGATAATATAGTTACTGCCTAAAATCAAATCAGAAATACTAAGAATGAAGCAGTTGTTATCTGTATCATAGAATGGAAATTGAACAACTTGGTTGTGTATATCGGAATCGAAATAATCAATAAACCAATGAGAAAAAAAAAGACAAACGACAACAAGTTCAAAGGTCAAGCCATAGAGTAAGACAATCGAAATAAATAACCAGACAACTGTCAGTTATTAGTCGATTGTGTAGATTAAAGTTAGGGGTGGTCAAACCAAAACGTGGCATCAGTGCTTGAAATCACTAATTCTTGTCTGAGCTATGTTGGTAGATACAGACTACTTGGTTGGGATCCGCGTGACTATCATAACCAATGGTTGGAGACTCTGTGTGACATGGTTCAGAATCGATCACAATGGCGTGGGTGTGTATATTGTCTGTTTTCCCTTAAACTATGAGATTAAAATCGCTTCATATCTTTCTTTCTACGAACTAATTCTTTCTTCCTGTACTATATCCTTATTGCAATCTTTCTTTTATATATTACCACTATTGACTTAACTACTCCTATGAATCCAGTGTTCATCTTGTTGTGCTAATGTAGTATGACAACTTGGATCGATGCCTAGTCCTACGTTGTAGCTGACTAACTGACTGACCGATTGTGTAGATTACTTCATTTTGAAATCTGAACTGATATGATGTTATCTATAAGAAAAGAAAATCAGAGCCATATAATTTAACTATTCAATCCAAAGAATATAACTTTAATAAACGAATTAAAATAACAGTATATCAATGATACATTTCATCTCATATTCTAAAAATATAAGAGGGCTGATTAGTAGAAAAACAAGTACAAACCTTGTTGAATGTATTCCCAATTCGAACAATACAAAATGTAATTGTTTTTTTTCACATAATCCTATCAAATGAGGTAGCAATTTCTGTCTATAGAGATATATGTAGAGTAATAGAAAACAAACAACAGATATGTATATCACATTTAAAATGTATTATGCATACAAACAAAGATGTTTATAGTTATGCAGAACTGGAAATTGCTACAATTCAGCATAAAGTACTTATAAACATATAAGTAGTATCAGATGGGTTTTGTGGAGATTGTAGTAATTTCAATGGTTAAGATCATGAGTCAGTTGAAGCTAGACCACCATGGAAAACCTGCAAGCACTGAACGGCCGTTTCGTCCTACTGTAGAACTCCTCAGCAGTGCGCATCCACGACCTCGCCCTCTGCGAGATTCGAACCCAGGACCTACTGGTTGCACGCGCGAGCACTTAACCACTAGACCACTGAGCTGGTCGGCATCCAATTACTGTGTTAATGTCTAACTTCAACTAATCCACGAAATTGAGAGACACATTCACCATTGTGTTCAGTGAGTTACTATCTCATAATAGACCCGGTTGAACTCCAGTGGTCGCTATTTCTCACTAGAACTGCAGGATATACCTCTTGAAGCCAGTCACTAGTGAGCATATGTTGATTAATATCAGATGGGTTTTTGTGGAGATTGTAGTAATTTCAATGGTTAAGATCATGAGTCAACTGAAGCTAGTAGTGCATTACAATAAATTAACTTCGAAAATTTTGGGCCAGACAAAAACATAATTAAAGGTACTAAATAGATGATTTAAATCGAAAACACAATGTTGACATATTATAGCAATGGTATGATTTTTTATTTATGAATTTGTTTACATACTACTATTAGTAGATGAATAATTTCACAAAAAAACATCACTTGTGTATTACTTAGACACAAACATTGGTACAAGAAGGCACCAAATAGATATGCGCCACATAAATCATTAGATTTCTATGAGGGCTGGGATACTGTCCGGCTGCTCACCCCGAAGGTGGTTTTCTTAGAAGGGCACAATCGGGACCTTTGACCTAAAGATCTGATTCATATAGCAGTGCAGCAACGTCCCATGATAGTCGGTGACCAATAATGGGTTCATACGCCATTTGTTCCTTCAGGATCTTGAAGCCCATATGCCCCATTAATTTGGAATCAGGGTTTTCCAACTCCGCAAGATGGATCCTCCATATCCACGGATTCGGTTAAAGCCCCGGACATTCGCTTTTTGTCCTCTGAATTTCGTAAACAACACCTGTGGTGCGGGAAGGTATTGAGTAGGACTTCCCTGTCAGTGGTTGTATCCACGTGGCCATGTGAGAGCATTTTGAGAGGGAGAGTTGACTCTCCTCACTCTCTGCCGTACCAAGGCATTTGAGAGCTAAATATAGAGTGCTTCAATGATGAAATTCGATTATGTAAACACTATTTCCTAATATTTTACAGTAGGTTAAGATATAATACAAAACTTTCAGTTAGGATATTCTACTCACTACTTTTTCATCAAGTAAAACTTTAAAATAAAGAAAAATAACCATATACAATGAAGACTTACCCTTCAATAGGTAATTTATACAATGAACAACCCATTATAATTGTAGATTGATCAGTTTTATATAAGATAGGTTCACATTCATTAACCCATATAACATTTGGAAATGATTTATTCACTAGAAGATATTCAGGTATTTTATTCATATCATTATTATTATTTAACATGAAAACATGACAAAATTGTTGTTCAAACCATTGTTGTATAGCTAAATGAAAACGTGTACGATTGAATGTTCGTAATTTCAAACATTTTACAGCACGATAATTAGAATATAAATGTACAATAGTACAACAAATAAAACAGAACCAAATACAGCTGAAATAAAAGAGAGGAAGAGAAAATAATTAAGAAATCAGTGAAAAGGATTTGAAGGTTTAAGAAAACCTACAATTGAGCAAATGTAATCATTAAACATGTATGTAACTTTTTAAGCAAAGATGGATAGTGTCTAGTGGTGGAATCCAGTTTGATGCGCGTTTCTTCCTATTTAAGACTCATCAGCTGGATGTACTTGCATTCCAGAGTTGATGTTCACTCTGGGACACGAACTCAATACTGTTCGCTTCAAACGCCATCGCATTATCCACTTAGCTAGTGAATCCTGACAACCAACTGCTTGTGCAATGGAGTGAAACCATATTCTATTGGTGTTGTTTTACTTGTATCTTCCCATTGTTATTTAAGACTGCAATTGATCAGTCTCATGTTGGGTTGTAATTTAAGGCTATATCGACGGAATCCGCACAGGATGCACATATGCCAATATGAGACTGATCAATCGCAGTCTTAAATAACAATGGGAAGATACAAGTAAAACAACATTAAGTACATTTATGTAACTTTGGAATTTCACAATTGCTTAGGAATAGAATTATTAGTAAGACCGACAATTTCAGGGTGACCTTTGAGCGACGCTAAAGTGACCTTGAGCGTGTTCACCTAATAACTAGGACAAAATGAGGGTTATAAATCAGTGTGAGGAATTGTAATTATGATTTACAGTTGATAGTTAATGGTTAGGAATGAAATGTTAGGGTTTTCATCGCGAACTGACATCATCTATAATGTCAAAACTCTAAATGGATGAGTGAGTTTCGCGCCAAAATCCGAGACCTATTATCTTATACCTGATTGGTTCGTCCATAAATTATAGTCTAACCTAATTATTCACCATAACGCTTAACATAATTATGTAATGCTAGATTCTTCTAAGTATCTATTGAATCCTTCCATGGATTCTAACTCAATGATTGAGGTAGATGTTAAATCTCGGAATGAAGCGAACAAAGAGTCTTACTCAAGGAAAATTGATTATTGCGTTAGAGTCCTTAAAAAGGGCTCAATACTAATTCTAATTTATCTTATGAGTTTGGTTGTGGAGCTTTAATCATTCTTCTAAACGACATCATCAACACAAACTTCAGGTAGAAGTGAAGTGTTCAAATTTCTCCACATATAGTTCACAGCTTATCCTGTACACCTCGATGTTGATTGTCCACGTACATGCATGTTAGACAACTGCGAACACATATTCGACTGGAAAAATGTGGAGATATTAGATAGAGACAATTCTAAAAACACCAGAGAATTTGTAGAAGCTTGGTACTCAGGTCAATGAGCACTCAACAATCACATTGAAATCGATCGAATTTATCAATCAATCAGGAAAATTATGGACAAATATAGGATCAAAAATCAAACTAATGCGAGATACAACCAAAACAAAAAGTAAACAATGACAAATTTAAGGTCAATAAGAACCAATCAACATCGAGGTGTACAGGACAAGCTATGAACTACATGTGGAGAAATCCGAACACTTCACTTCTACCTGAAGTTTGTGCTGATGATGTCGTTCAGAAGAATGATGAAAGCTCCACGACCAAACCATCCACCTCAGAGAACAAAACTCCATCAAAATCTAAAGAAAATAACTTTAAGTTATATTATTGTATTGTTAGTTCATTTAAATGGAAGATTATGGACTGTTGGATTTTCACAATATGATACCCTACTCGTTAGATAAAAAAAAACTTGAATTGTTTTAGTCTGACGTATGTCATATGTATGAATTATTAAAATTTCACAATAGAATGTACCAGTTATTTAGTTGATATAATGACAGAATAAAAATATTTCCTGTTTGACACAATATACTACTATTATACGATAGGTAACTGAGATTTTACTACCATAGACTAGATATTCAATCAATATGCTATACATAAACTTGGATCACAATATACAACAGACACATGCTTCTTGAAAAAAAATAAGGAAACAAGCAGTTTACACTTAATGAGTTCAGAGCAGAAATCGATAATAGGAAGGAAAGTACACCCCCCCCCAGTTACACCCCCAAATGCCCTGGTACGGTCGAGGGTGGGGAGAGTCAACCCTCCCTCTACAAATGCTCTCACATGGCCACGCGTATACAGTCACTGCCAAGGGAGTCCCAATCACTACATTCTCACAGCGAGGGTGTTGTTTACAAAATTGAGTGGATGAAAAGCGAATGTCTGGCGCGTTAACTGGACTGGTGGATGTGGATGATCCACCTAGAGAATTTCGAAAACCCCGATTCCAAACAAATGGTCTATATGGGCTCCAGGATACTAAGGGAACAGGAGCGTATGAACCATGGTTTGGATACCCGGGGAGTATCACAGCCCACACACAAATCAACTTAATTGTGTGGCGCATACCTATTTGATGCCTCGTTGTACCAGTATTTATGTGTTCAAATAAATAAGGAAATTACACATTAAATATTCAGAAACTGGATGTCTATCTGTCCATGTTACGTGGTCAACCACTCCTAACATTCACTAGCTACACATCTTTAGAACTACTTGATTTTTGAGATATTGTTAGCTTGTGATGAAAAATTCGGTCTTATTACCGTCTGATTTTATTGCTATTAAATTATCATAATTAAAATAGATGACCTGTTTCGTAGTATCACATCATGGAGTAACCTAGGTTCTGGCGAGGAGCTGTAGTCAGTCAAGTTTAGTCATGTCGGAGCTCAGACAAATATCATCAATACTAACAAGTGCTGCACAGAATTTTAAAAATTGAACACCCATAAATTTATGTCTATATGTAGATATTAATATTAAATAAACAGATGATAGAAGTAAATTTATAATATCACTTACAATTGATTACCGGTCACCATATATAACAAAATAAAGTTAAGTAACCATGCCAACAAATTAGATAAGGTTTCCTATATGAATAAAAAGTAAATAATCTTAACAAAATAAGCTTTTGTCTATGTGATATTACATAAAAGAATTGAACTGATCTGTAAATATATTCACGACTCATGATCTCAACTATTAATATTACTATAATATCCACAAAACCTCTTTCCGATTATAATCAACATATGCTCACTAGTGACTGGCTTCAAGAGGTATTTCCTGGAGTTCTAGTGAGAAACAGTGATCAGTACAGTTCAATCGGGTCTATTATGAGATAGTAACTCACTGAACACAATGATGGATGTGTCGCTCAATTTCGTGGATTAGTTGAAGTTAGACATTAACACAGTAATTGGATGCCGACCAGCTCAGTGGTCTAGAGGTTAAGCATTCACGCATGAGACCGATAGGTTCTGTATTCGAATCTCGTGAGGCGAGATCGTGGACTCGCACTGTTGAGGAGTCTCACAATAGGACGAAACAGCCGTCCATTGCTTCCACGTTTTCCATGATGGTCTAACTTCAATTGACTCATGATCTCAACCATTGAAATTACTATAATATCCACAAAAATCCCTCTGATATTCATGTATGTGAAATGTATATTGAAAAGATTATAACAGATGCGAATCAATAAAGTTTAACCACCAGTCATTAATGAACCTAGACATTGGTATAAATATGCATTAGCCCAATTTCCTATACCGTATTAACACAATAAGATGTAATTAACAAAATGTATAACAAGCAAGTCGAAACATAGCAGTCTCAGTGATTGATTATATGACTTAAAAAGAGGAAATAAAAAGAAGGTTATTAATAAGATAGTCAGTGAATAAAACCATTCTATTCTAACCCGAAATCTACAACCACTAATTGATCATAGCTATGATGTAGACTGTAACCAGGCAGTGTGAATTCACCATGGCTCATTTAGTAATTTGATGGACTTATGTTTGGGTGCTCTTAGTTTTCGTCCAACTTATTCCTATTCCATTTGAGACTGAGCATCAGTATTTGAAGTGGCCGGGCATACATAATACATGTCACAGAAACTTTAGTCGATGAAGATTTACAGTCCTATCAACTGATTTTCTTTATTTGTCTAAACCTTACATCTAGCCTCGGTATTGTTGTCAGGCTTGAAATTACATTAATTAATTATGGTAACTGAAATTAATTAAATTTACACCGAAAATGATTTATGAGTAATGTGACTGATGTTGGTTAATTCTTAGTATTGATCAGATTCTAATGATGAAAAGCTCAATTGAAACATTTATCTTTTCATACCACTGAATGGTACAGATTTTGAGTATTTTTGGAAAGGGCATCAATTCTCTCAAGACCGTTGATAAACACCTTAATGATGAATGCTAACTAACATGAAGATTTATTGAAGACCACACTCAGTAAACAGACATGATCATTGAATAATTCAATAGTCTTTAAATATTGCGGAAGAAAAACAGTCGTTTACTAATCTCAAAGTGAATTGATACGAAATATTCTATACCATATACTACTATGATAAAGTAGCTACAATGAATGCATACAATTACCACTTTATTTATCCTTATTTTTTCCACACTTTGTTTGTAAATTTTTTTAACAAAATGAGTTGAGAGGGGCAAGAACCCGTATGTGCATATGTGATAAACAGAATGGGTTTGAAAAAAATAATTGGGAGACGCAATGTCATAACATTACCATTTACATTGACACATATCTTATGATTCAGATAGAAAAAAAAACAAAACAAGACCGATGGATGAAATTATTTGTAACCATAGCAGCAAGAGTATGAAAACATGACATTTCAAACTATGCTTCTTTTTTTGTTACCCTATAATACACTACTGATTAAATCAATTGTGAACTTCATATTAAACTAATCCATAAAGAACCAATTTAAACAAACACTATTGATTTGGGTGGTATTCAAGTGAGTATCACTTGAACTACTGCACATCAGTAATTAGTTTAATACTTATAACTAAAGCTTCAAATAAGCTAATTAACCAACACCTTAGTCAAAACAACATTTACTCAAGTCTTATGTAATACAAAAATAAGATCATAAAATTATAATGATTGATGGTTAAGAATTGACCAATATCGTGTTTGTCACTTGAACTAGTGGATACATTCTAACTTGATCAACAGAATTCGATTACTATAACAGGACTAAACAAATATGAAGTTGGTCAGTTCTTAGTGATTAATTAATATTTCAGTTGGCACGAATAGATCACTGGTAATACATTAGATAGCGATAATACATGATGTAGGTTTAAATTACACAGCGTATTAATTCTCTATAAAAACTGTAGGTACCCCATGTTGATACGTGTCAACAAATCTCAACCATAAATTTCACGAATCCTCATTAATGCTTCTGAACATGAAGAAGCATTAATGCCACCAATTAGTGATAATAAAAATGTAGAGCACATATTGCATTATTTAGTCGCTGAATAAATGGTAAGACTAAAAGTATACCACCAACTCTCAGTGATTATGAGAGTGGGTGGGAATCATTGAGGCGTCCTATGTCAGGACTAAACCACCGTTCAGTGCTCCCAGTGGTTTTCAGTGGTGGTCTAACATCGATTGGTTCATGATCTCAATGAAACTCAACAATCTCTACAGTCCTATATTAATAATATGACATTAAGCAAGAATGATCTAACGGGTACATATATAGAGATCCTGATCTGTCTAGACATTTATACTCAACTCAACAAAAGTCCTTATTATTGAAAAAGATTCGCTTGAATGTTTAGTATGAATAAACGATATAATATTCTAACCAAAATGTAGTTTTCTACTCACACTACATTAATTCTACTTTTAAATCCCGAAGTAAACTTTCCCCCTTATACATTCAAGGTGTTTTATGCATTTTATTAGCGTATCTACGAAAAAAAATGTATCTCATTAAATGAATGCTCATTGAATGGTATTACTTAATGGGTCTTGGGCAATATGAACTAAAAGTATGAGAAGTTGGTCTGAAAAATACAATGTATTAAAGCTGTGCATTTCCAACAATCTGATTATACATGTACTTGTCAAGGAATTTTATATGAAAACTTATAAAGATCAACTAAATGACAGCTCCGATAAACATTAAATAATGATTATTAATTGAGAACGAAAAAAAAGAATGGGGTGTGATGCGATCGTCTAGGCCTATGTAGAATTATGGGCTTGACATTTCAGTTACAATAAATTAGCAGCGTAGTATGTTATCACTATGGCTACTTCTAGTGTCTGTCTGAAAGTTATGCTGTTTGACTTTCCTCTAAATGGTAAAGAGAACAACTGAATTACATCGATTTATAAAGTTCAGCGGGTAACCGTTTAATATCACTGTTTCAGTCGGGAGTTTTGAGTCCTCTTCAAACACATCTGTAACGCATATTCGTTGTGTTCTGTCGACAACTTACTTTACCAAGCCTTTTTTGTGCTACAGAGGACAAAAACTGTAGGTAAATACTGCAAAGTTCAGGTCACCTTCCTATAAACTGACTGCTTTATAGTACCATCTTTCCCTTGGCTCAAAAGTGTGTCCAGAAAGGGTAATTGGTCATTATTTTCTTCCTCACAAGTACGATATAATTCTGTGGACAGTTGTATGTATCTAATAACTGAGAAGTATCGAACTCTATCATATACGACCAGTATTTCGTCGATGCGTCACCTTAACAGAGTCATCTCACTGATAAGCGACGAACAAAGTGTCTTATTAAAATATGAAAACCATACACTGTTTACTCCATTTGCAGATTTCCATCATTTGTCCTTTACATTTCGCATGATTCTTCAAATTCACAACTCCTTTCTATTCTCATTGACTTGATCTTCTTAATTTTCTGCTGCCAGGTTTTCCACTTCCGATTGGTGTTACATACTACTTATGTCCGTCGACATAAGTAGCATACACCACAATACAATTATCATTTTTTGTTTATTGTTACTTTTTATGGAATTGATGTTTATATGTTTCCGTATAAAATGCCTTGAAAAGTACAGATGTAACTAGATGGTTGGAAATGTACAGCTTGTGTATATTACACTTTTCAGATTAACTCTATCATCTAATTGTTTTATCAAAGCGACTAATTGCTTTGAATGAAAAGTAGTTATAATAATCTTAACTAGTTCAATAGTACAATTCATAGAGTTGTAAGTAAAATAAAACTATATGGAAAGTATAAAACTAACCTGACTACCATCTTTAGCTGATACATCAGCTAAATTATTATTGATCGCTTGATGTTGAACAATAGCTGCACGTGTTGCACTACCAGCGACACCAACTAAAGACTTTTTTGAAAGAAATGAAGTATGTGTACGTTTGGCATAGAAGGTAATTAGAGATAATTTAATTTGATAGTTTATATTCTCGAATTAATTTAAAATGTGAACTATTGAATACCTAGTGCAAGACCCCTTTACAAACTTCAACATACAGTCTGGCCATGAATCAGATATTGGGGTCATTAAGATTTAAGCCGAGAGCGTCGACTTCATACTGCTGAACATCATCCACAGTTAATACAAGCTATCTTTAAAATATGTGTCTGGTTAAGTAATTCAGAAAAATAATGAAAAAATTACAAGTATGAACGATGCTATACATATATACATCTAATATACCCATACAAGTGTTTTGACTCTCAACCTACAATGTGGGATACAGTGAACCATAAACTGATTTCCAATTAAGTTAAATACTTTTATATAAACTAAGAATTTTCAACGAAATGATCATTTTCATGATAAATCGATTTGTGATGAATAATCCCTGTATGGAGCTGAAAATCGGAGAACTACAAAAACAATCATCCAGAAGATATAATTGTTTATTAATAGTTGCCTATGCAAAATACTTAGGATTTGTTGACCAGACACTATCAGTAACAACCTACTGTGAGAGAGAACAAACCAGATCTCAGCGGAGAAAGAAATCAGGAAGAAGCGCTGGAAGTGGATAAGACACACATTGAGGAAAGCACCCAACTGTGTCATAATGCAAGTCCTCATATGGAATCCTGAAGGTCAAAGGGAAAGAGGAAAACCAAAGAGCACATTACGTCGAGAAATGGAGACAGACATGAGAAAAATGAACAAAAATTGGACAGAACTGGAAAGGAAGGTTCAGGACAGATTGGGTTGGAGAATGCTGGTTGGCGGCCTATGCTCCATTGGGAGTAACGGGCGCAAGTGAGCAAGTAATCCCTGGAAACTGAAAGGAGATAAGATTGACAGTGTTATAGTAGTAATGTTACAAAGATGAATTTGAAATCATGACCTTTATGATTGTTGGAGATATATAGTACTGAACGTAATAGGATGAATTTAGATTATCCTTAACTTCATTACAAATAAATATAGATATAATTCGAATAATTTTATGGAATCACATAAGCTACTACTATTCCAATTAATCAGTAAAGGTTCATAAGGTAATCTCACAGGATACAAAGTGATTTAAAACAAGAAAGATGCTGATGTATAGTAATATACACAGATAAACTGAAGGATCCGACCAAGTCAGGAAAACATATTCATGATCAGATATTACTGGATAGATATTTCGTTTGAGTTTGAGATTCAATAACAGTGTGAACTGATGGACGTACAAAAGACCCAAGTGTGCATTAATTAGTAACTGAGTAATAACATATGTCATGTTCGCCTAGTCCTTAGTATTGGTCGAATTCTAAAATATTGATTACTGCTCAGTGAGCAGTCAGTGTAAGTTTCTCAACGCGACAGGCCGATCGATGCCCGTATAGCTCAGTGAAATTGGACAAAACAGGTCCTTCAGTTGGTGTTGGTTCAACTTTATAATATTAGTACAAAAAACCTATATCAGATATTGGTGAAAAGATATTTCACCGATGACCTTGAGCGAGCCATGGGGCAGGCTCGAGAAAGTACAGTTAATCTTCAGTCAACCAGAATCCAAGTGATATGAACAATTAATTGGAAACATAAAAACTCAAAAAATTCAGCGTTAGGAATTTGAGTCTTGATTTGAATTTGGGGGTTGACCATTTGGAGTCAGGAGTAATAGTTAGGAATAAAATGTGGGCTGAACGCGGTATTTTTGAAGTTCCATATGAACATGGACTAATAATAACTTCACATTTTTACTGTTTACTGAAAGAATCGGTTGTAGATAGTGATTGAGTAACAGTATACACTTCAGGCGAACCAATCAGATTTAAGATAACGGTTATTTGATTTTTGCGCGGAATTCAAAACGCGATTATGGGTAGCTTGTGTTTAGTGAAAACCAGGAAACACTGAACGGCTGTTTTGTCGTACTGTGATGCTCTATAGGAACGCATATTCACGAATTCACTGAGGGTTGGAATAAGGAGCTTTAGGCCACTTTCTGAGCTCTTAACATTGGCATTTGATAAATTACACTTCTAACTTCAATCAACCCACGGGCTTAAAAAGGACTAACTTCGAGCGGTTACTTCTCGGTTTCTGGTGAAAATATGTAAGCAGAGAATATTAGTCATTTCAGCATTCAGACAAGCGCCACTAACAGAAACATATTTGTTTATTAATTTAAACATAAACATTGGTACAAGGAGGCACCAGATATATGTGCACCACACTTCATCATTTGATTTGTGTGAGGGCTTAAATACTGCCTGGGCGCCCAAACCGAAGTAAGTCGAAACGGATGACGGTAGTAGAATATCACAAATTCAATGGAGCTGGAAATGAAAATCATTGGGTAAAAACTCAGTAGTCTGAATGTGAAGGAGTCACAGCGAGGCCTGAAGGTGATGGGGTTGATACCTAGTGGGGCTAAGGGAGTGTAAAGACGAACTCCATACCAAAACGAAACCAGTAACTTTTGATTTTAAATGGCTCTCTAAGGTGAACCCGTAGTGTAATACCGAAACATTTAACAATATCCACAACATCCGATAATAATAAATGGAACCATCGAAATTCATAGTGCGACCCAAAAAATAAAAATAAGGTCTAACCCTCTATGAACTATTCAAAGAACAGAAAACTTAGCAGCAAAAGGATAGGGTAGACAATAGAATACATCCAAACCAATATTAATAAATACGAATTACCTTAAGTACATTAGCAAGACAAAGTAACGGTGTGAACATATCATTGAATAGTGGAGAAATTAGTTCAAGGAATAAAGCACAATCGTTTAAGATATCAGCAACAAATCTATAGAAAAGTAAAGGAAAAAATGAATAACTAAGAATGATAACTACTTCAAGACACATACTGATGAATAATAAAAAGTAGAGTTACCATTGACCATTTTTCTCAAATAACCAATCTTTGATTGACAAACACTAAATATATAACAGATATATTTCACTGTTAGATGTTATACTAGAGGACTTTAAAACAGTTTGGTAGTTTGACGTAACTAAGTTACCTAGCATTTAAGCATTGTTCTGTGTGAATGCTGGTGATACGATGCAGTTGCTTAAACTAAATGATACGATCAATGTTAGACCACCATTGAAAATGTGGGGATACTGGACGGCCGTTTAGTCCCAATACAGGACTCCTCGACGATGCCCACTCACAATCCCGTACGTGGGACTCGGACACAGAGCCTTCAGACTTGATCGTGAACGCTAAACCTCCAAACCATTGAGTCGACATTCAACGGTGTTAATGTTTAACTTCAATCAACTCACGATATTACACCACTAGCTCCAACTGTCATCGATGAGCAACTGTCGCATAACAGACATCGTCGAACTCTACTAATCACGGTTTCTCACCAGAACTCCGAGAATTACCTCTTGAATCTAGTCACTAGTGAGTACATGAGTGAGTTAAATATCAAATAATGTTCATAACATAACTGCTTACCTCCAAAATTTGCAATCACAGTCTAATTTAATTCTACAAGATAATAGGTAGTATCATATAGTTAATTTTAAGAAATCAATCGATCACTACCCATGATAACCAGCAAATATAATTCTTCCAATCATACCTGAACCATCTAGAAAATCAAAAATGAACAATAATGATAATATCATTGATAAACTTCACAATTCACAGTACATTTTAACTAAGTATAATCATTCTTTCTTTTAACTTGTATAGTTGACGATTACCCGGACCAAACAACTAAGAGTTTTAATGAAACTCAGAGAAAATTCATAGAATGTTGAAGTTCTTTTGTAGATAACCTATTAACAAAAACATCACTTTTCAAGAAGACCAACAATTCAAATGATGACTGTAATGACTGCAAAAATGATGGAAAAGTATGACAAACGCTAATCTTGTGTTTTAATAAAAACATCAAACATATTCGATCATATGTAAGTTCTGATTGCCGATTTACTGTTCAGACTATTGCTGATAAACTGAATTCAGCAAAACTGTCTGGGTATACGATTATAGCCAAGCATTTCAGTTCTACGTTTGAGTCCCAGAATGAGCATCAACTCTGAGATGTAGGTACATCCAGCTGATGAGTCCCAAATAGGAAGAAACGCTCATCAAACTGGATTTAGCTGCTAGCCACTATTTATCTTTGCTTATAAAGCTTGTGACTTCAAACAATATCGAGGCGGTCCGCACAGGATGCACATATGTCAACAGAAGACTGATCAATTACAGTCCTAAATAACAATGGGAATATACAAGTAAACGACACCAAGTGAATATAGATAATTGGATCCAAAAATCAGATATCATCCTCTAGAAATCGCAAATAGGAAATTTCTACCTCAGTTCTAACAGCTAAAGTTATTCTTCATTGTATACGACACAGTACAATGTTCACTTGATGACTGCATTTATCACCGTTCTACTTAGGGAGAACACATACATATATTCACAACTCAGGCAGTTAGTTACAACATAGGACCAGGCACATACATGCATCGGTCCAAGTTGCCATACCACATTAGCACAACAAGATGAACACCGGATTCATAGGAGTAGTTAAGTCAATAGTGGTAATATATAAAAGAAAGATTGCAATAAGGATATAGTACAGGAAGAAAGAATTAGTTCGTAGAAAGAAAGATATGAAGCGATTTTAATCTCATAGTTTAAGGGAAAACAGACAATATACACACCCACGCCATTGTGATCGATTCTGAACCATGTCACACAGAGTCTCCAACCATTGGTTATGATAGTCACGCGGATCCCGACCAAGTAGTCTGCATCTACCAACATAGCTCAGACAAGAATTTAGTGACTTCAAGCACTGATGCCACGTTTTGGTTTGGCTGTCCCGAACTTCCAACCATTCCCAACAATAGTCAACATTGCGTGTCGGTGTTCAGGCATACGAAACACGTGGCCCAACCATTTCAGTCGACGAAGATACACAACCTCATCAGCTGATTTGCCATCATTCCCTAATTCTCTGCGTCTAACCTCACTATTACTTACCCGGTGATCCCAGCAGATGCGAGCAATATTTATAAGGCATCTGTGGTCAAATACTAGTAACTTACGAGTATCTTCTACTCTTAATGGCCTTGTTTTGCAGCCGTAAATTAAAACAGAACGAACTGCCGCGCAGTATACTCGTCCCTTAAATGATAGACGGATATCTCGCCTTCGCCATAGGTGACGTAAGTTGGCAAAAGCCAACGAGCTTTTCGAATCCGTGCTGAGATTTCGTCAGGTACCAACCCATTTGGGTTGATCAGACTACGGTCGGGGTGTACACTGATACTTTTTCACAATTTCACTGACAAGCTTCAGTTTGTATTGTTCACAGAGTTTTATTAAGAAATTGAAAGTTACAAAGTTACACAACAAAACCACCAATAAAAAAATTTAAATGTTATAAGATATTTTAAAATAATCAAATAACAACACCTTTAAACATCCACGTTAAACTAGCACTTAATATGGTAGCTGATGAGTTCCCAACACCTACACCGATTAAAACTGCTTGTGATGCAAGAGCACCAGTGATACTGCTGGCAAATGCCTGTATAAAATAAAGAAGGAAGTCATATTAACGATAGAGAATATAGACAGTATTCATGACGGATTTATCTTAGCTGGGATAACCATTAAAAACTAAGAAGCACTGGATAGATGTATCATCTTAGTATGGAATTATTTGACAGTATACACCTACGACTTTACTTGAAATCGAACTTAGGATATGCGGGTATTGAAGTGCACCTTTAACAATTAGAATCACTGGGTAAAATGGTACGATCTCAGCTTCAGTCAGTTCGCGATATACAGCGGCGATGTTTTAACCTTGGATATTTTCTATGTCGTCTTTGACTGTGAAGCTGGGTGACACAGAATCGAATCCGTCAGGTAGCATCAGTTCCCTCAAGATTACAGGTACACGTTGCTGACAAATGCCAAGTAGCACGGAACCTAGGTTCAGAGCTTCCTGTCGAATACCTCCAACCACCATCTGATGACGTTATTGCTTAGAAATAAACCTTAATACTTTATACAGTGCATAACCGATAAAAATGCAACGCAGCCACCGTGAATGAAAACATTTACTTTAGTATAATCTTTATTATACACGACAACATCCGAATCACCATTCAGAAGAAAAGTCTTTTGTGTCTTGCTGCTACTTATTCATCAACAACTGAATTATGTATTTGGCTTGCAGCCATACTATTTATGTGAGGGCTATTAAAACTACCGGATTACAGGAACACCTTGCTAACCAGTGCCAACTAGGGAGAAATCTATGTCTAGAGTATCATGTTGACTATCCACCTACAACCACCTAACACCGAACGCCACACCAACGCAAGTTTTGGCATACAGATCGTATCAATAACCCCAAAACGAACGTAGTTCAAAGCCAAGTATGTAAATATATACTTTGTAAATGAGTTAAAGACTCGTATTAGTTGAAGAAGTATTCAAATCCACGATCCAATAGTACTTCTTGAAAGCCGAGTACGTATCCTAGAGAGGTGTTTTAGACTCAAAGAACCCAATTATCATAACGGTACACTAAATAATGAAACGTTAGCAATGAAAAAATCACCTACCTGTATAGTGTCCCAAATTTGATATTCTAAATAATCATTGCTAACACTAGATGGATACCCAACAGGAAGAAAAAACTTCTAAAATATGTTTTATGAAATTTTTCATTTGATAAACCTTAAAAGTCACCCATGATAAGTGTAGATCAAATAATGAGCTAATTGATCGACTTTGACTTTTCTCCAATGTAAATACACGAGAAACCTCATCACCGTATGATTCAACAAACATTTTTGAAGTCATTGGACAATTATAAACAAGTAGCTATCACGTTGTTGTTAATTATCGGAAAAAGCCTCTCAATAAGATTTATTTATAACTCAAATTGAATATTGTGGAAAACACTAGTCTAAAGAAAGAATATAAAATGAAGTTTTTTCGTGACTACACTAGGGCTCGTGTTGTTTTTATTCTTGGCAGTGCATTAAAAATTATGTATGTATACATTGGGGTACGATCTTAAGTAGTTACATATTAGAAACGTTTCACAAGCAATAATTCTCTTGAGGCGTTAGGCACTAATTGGATTGATTTAATTGATCAATTACCCTCATATTACACATGATTCAATACTAAATACACTGATTTTTAAAGTAATTTCTGAAATACACTATTGAGTTAGACATCTGGTAAAATAAAGTCATCAATTCCTTTACACAGAAGCATTGATGTTAGAGTATTCAAATTTGTGCGTCTTTACATTTTCCACTATCTTGAGTGAACATGGAACAGCAGCAAAGTTATTTGCCCTCATGCTCTATCCTGATAAATCTTTGTTAGTGTTGCTTACATCTACATGTGGCCCACTAAGTTGGAACAGAGGTTTCTGGCTAGCCAAAATGATAGACTTAAAGACAATGAGGAGTTTCATAAGTCTCTCTCACTCGGAAAATTCCTCAGTCACAGATGCAAGAATCAAAGTGCTATTACTCAAGGCTTAGTAGATATATACTCACCTGCTCAATATATATAAAATTCCCTCATTTTACCTGAGATTCTCTTTTATTTATCGGAGTAGTCATCAACAAAGTGTACGCACAAGTGCTAGAACTTCGACTATAGCTCGAGTTTCTCTTGTTCTAGCATGTAGTATTTTCGTGAGAAGTTAATGTAGATCTTTTATTTTAATACCGTTTGCTTTTCAGTGCCAAGGTAATTTCTTGGTTTCGAGTATCGACCAACGTAGGCAGTCTAGTCAATCACCTGCACTAATCCCATTAAATCAGACTTATTTAAAGGCTAGTATATCTCCATTATAAATAAATGTGTCTGTCAATGGCATTGGGTTTGATGGAACCAGGAAATACCTTTTTATAGAGAAGCCAACTAGTGAGTTGTATTATGAAGTACCTTAAAAGTCGAATACTATTAGATGTAGTACACAAGTTTGAAATAAATTTATTGACTGATTGTGAAAAAAAAAAACAACTACATGTAAAAACAAATGAAAACCGAACGGAGGTGATAAACAATAAAGAAAGATGTAGAAAGATACTAATAATAATAGATAAATCGCGAGACATGCGGCAAGACTAGTACGCAAAAAAGCCTCGGTCACCATCAAATCATGTAGGTAACAGCCATTCAAGGCAATAAATGTTAACCTCAGGTGTTGACGTGGTTGTTAAGCATTATCTTGAAAATTTCTACAGAAGAGGCTGAAATTACATCGTTACAGCGTTACTGATAGGGTTGATCAGTAGCCTAGACTGTGTTCAATCTTTGATGCGTGATTCACAAAAGGTTGCATCTAAAAGTTAATGGCGAGGCCCGAGTAAAATGTCTTATTCAGGGTCACATGGAGTGCTCACTATAAACTGAATACTCATAATACATTAATGTTGTATACAATAATTGTTGTATACCATTTTTATTGGCCTCAATTACACTGTTTCCCATTGCAGATAATAGTTAAAAATATATAAGATAAAAAACGACAGTTAAAATACATCTTTTGACTTTGCCTTAAGCATTCGAAATTAAAGGCAATCGAAAACTCCTACGCAGTCATGATTTTGTTTAGGCTCTTAACGACCTTGAAAAAGTATTTTACTCTGAGATCACTAAAACGCAGTAATTGAATTCTATCACCACCCGTTCAGTAACTTACTTTAAATAAGAGGCTTAAAGCTATCAAGACATGAAACCGTTTGGTGGTCTATAGAAACTTATCTCATACTTTCCTACCTAACTTAATCATTTTCTTTGTCAGCATCCTCTGGATGTTTTACGTTGCAGAAATTTATGATGTCAAATTCATCTTTTCGTATGTAAAGCTGACTATGATAAGAAGGGTCGGAGTTGGCAGTCGTCTCTACTAGTAACTAAGCGATCAGTACGATAAGATTTGAAATTCTCATTTGACTTTTTGTGGAAAAATACTCCCTTGAACTGGTTACAGAGAAGCTTTTGTTATTCGGCAAACAAGTGACATTCACGTTTCTTAAAAGCCTTAAGAAGTCGGTATTTTGTGCACATCCCAGCATTTGTTGTGTTGTTATATATTTGCAACATCGCGATGAGAAGTTTAAATTTCTGACGTCTCGCGACTTATCATGAGCCTCTCTTTCAGAGGACAAGATTTATTGTTTATTGTAACCTTTGAATACCTTTCGTTTACTTGCATGTCAGTAAATTCAGCATTATGGAAAAACCTAAGACTCGTATTTACTTGTGGTCGAATTGATTCAATATGTTCCTGACAAACCAACTTTGGTAGGATTTGTAATACTATGTGACTAAAACTAGTTAACTGTTCAGTGAACATTCATGACTGATACTGACTTTGATGATTCTAACAGATAAAGAGACTCATTTAGATATCCTATTCGTCAGAAAATTCATGTTTCCTGACTTGTGACTGTGTAAAACATTAACAGATTATATCCAGTTGTTCATCGCTCGGGTCTGTTGCGTTGTATAGTCCAGAGTCTATTCAGGGTTATTAAAATTCCGGGTTACTGAAGTATAAGCTGAACATGAAAATGCCACAGGTATTCGGGTTTTACAACGCTTTAACCAGTGACACCTAATATGAATCATACCCACCAAGTGAAATCAAAATACAGAAGCGAGGAGGTTCGAAGATATATTTGATAGGCTACTAATATATAGAGGGTCGACTGATCTAGGCTGGCTAGCGATTGCAGGAGATGTTGAGCACGGCGTTCCCATTCGTGATCTGGGGCGGATGCATGACCAAGCGCCTCCAGTTATGTGAGTCCCTTAAAACTAATGTGGTCAGCATCCAGTGTCGAAGACTTACAGAGCTACTTATTTTGGGAATTTATTTACCTCTACAGATCCCTCCTCCTAGTGGCTGAGTGATGACCCTAAGACGTGACCAGCCAGGAGTCTAAACCCGACGAGTTTGTCACTGGTAAAAACTCTTATGATAGTTTGCTAGGTTTAGCAGCGTCTGGTCGTCTTTCCTTACTACAAAGGACCATGAAGTGCACATAGTATAAAAAGAAAAAGTACGATGAAAATTTCGGATTCTCGTGCACTTCATCGTTCTTTTTATCGTCTTTTCCAGCCGTCCTGGAAGACAAAAAAATAGGTAAGTGTATGTCGAAATACACTCGTGCGTGCGTAAGACTACAAAGCGGGCGGAAAAAGAAAAATAAACACATGCACACTTAATAGCGTAAAAAAAGATTTTTACAAAACGGTTTTTGTTCTTTTTTGAGAAAAATGTAAATGTATAAGCATATTAAAATTGCTTTTTTTTATTACATATAGTACAAAGAAAAATCGAGATGATATAAAATGTCAACTGGTATATTATGTGAAGTAATCGTTCAAATGTTCTGGAAATCTTACTGTTCTTCCAGAACGCGTTGTTTTAAGTCTATATCTTATACAGCCAAATCATTATCGTGCGTATTGGCAGTCATAATAGGTATTATAAGTGTAGAAGCCGTATCGTCCAATAGTATTGAAGGGAAATTGACGTGGATAGGATTTCCTTCTAAATACGCTGCTTTGAGGCGATCGATGCTGCTGCTATCGTTGGTTCCGTTCTTATCGATTATATAGTACTTGGGTTCGCGTTGAACAACTTTGAAGGGTCCTTCGTATGCTGATTCGAATGGTCGCCGATGTGAGTCTCGATGAACGAAGACGTGTGTACTATGTCATAAGTCAGGTTGAACGGAAAAATCAGTTGATTATGGTCGAGTGGAAACAGGTTTAACTGAACGCATTGCGTTTGTAAGCCTGTTCGTGTAGGAGGTTAGATCCATATTCATTGAAGAAGATGAAGGATCCACGAATTCTCCTGGAGGTCGAAGTGTCGTTCCATAAACGAGTTGAGACGCAAAGTGTCCAATGTCGGCTTTCACTGCATTGCGAATGCCTAGTAAGACGTGTGAAAGAGCGTCGGTCCACTGTGAAACGCTTGCAGCTGATAGTGAGGCTTTCAGTTGTCGGTGAAAACGTTCTACCAACCCGTTTGCTTGTGGGTGGTAGGCAGTCGTTCGAAAGCGAGCGATTCCTAAAAGTGTGGTCAGACGACGGAAAAGTTCAGATTCAAACTGACGTCCGCGGTCTGTAGTGATGGTTGAAGGGCAGCCGAAGTTTGCTACCCATCGTTCGACGAAGGCGCGTGCCACTGTTTCAGCAGTGATGTCCTTGATAGTTACTGCTTCTGGCCATCGAGTGAAACGGTCTACGCAGGTTAAGAGATAAGAGTATCCATTTGAATCTGGTAAAGGTCCTACCAAATCCAGATGAACATGGTCGAAACGAGCATCGGGAGTTTTAAACGAGCCTAAGGGACATTTATTGTGTCTGATAACCTTAGATTTTTGGCAGCTTACACAGGAGCGTGCCCACTCCCTCACGTCTTTATTCATGCCAGGCCAGCAAAACCGTTCTGCTATAAGCTTGATGGTTGCACGAACACCTGGATGAGAAAGTTTGTGCAATGTATTGAAGACATTGCGTCGATATTGTTTCGGCACGATTGGGCGATCCCTACCTGTAGATGTGTCACACAGTAAGGTTTCCTTACCTGTTCCCATCTGTTTGATGCGTAGTTTAAGGGTTGTGGACGATAACTCGTGCTGAAGATCAGTGTCTTCTTTTTGAAGCTCGGCGAGTTTAAGAAGGTCGATTCCTTGGAAACTGTTTAAGGAAGTGATTCGAGACGAGGCGTCTGAGACTACATTGTTTGCTCCAGAAATATGTTGAATGTCTGAAGTAAACTGTGAAATGTAGTCCAGTTGTCGAGACTCACGAGA